CAACAACAATCAAACCTTCAGAATCACACCGGAGTCATACAGGTGAATCCGAAGAAAGAAACATGCATAGTATTGAATAATTTTCCTTCCATTTCTCACAATAATTCTTTGGATCTGTATTAATTTAATTACCATGTCCTAATTGTCAACTTTTTTTTTTTCATAGGTGAAATAGGTTTCTATGTATTCCTATTTAACTTACAAAGAAAGAAGGTCTTCTTTTTTTTTCATGACCTCTGAACGAAACTTAGCAATGTGAGCCAGTCTTGATTTAAGCTCTCCCACTCGGCTTCTGAGTCTAAAAATAAAAATATAAAACAAATCCATACATTGTATTATTTCCCCAATAGCCATAATGTTGAGTGTGAAAACTTACAGCACCTATATTTTAGAAGGTTGTCTATTACCCATAGTATCTGTTTGAGTGGACAATGCCTCAAACAGAGAAAGAAGACACATTGATATTTCAGTAATAAAAACGACCAAGAATCGTGTCCGGGTAAAAATTCTTGTTAGCACACAAAGTAATCTGGAGCTCCAAATTAACATATCTGTACATTTTTCTCATTGAACTACAGTTGTGTTCTCCCATTTTTGTTGTGGTCCCTTATTTTTGTTTAATAAGATAATATTGGCTTATTGAATTAGTTAAAGTCATCTTTGACTAACTGATAATACTTAGTGACATATCTGGAGAGAGGGTCTGGGGTCCTTATCAGAACTTTTCTTCAAATTCTGTCATGTTGTCCTCAGAATTCTAAAAGTACAAAGACAAGTTTTATTTAAATGGTTGACTTGACTCATGAAGATAAAGATTTCACCTGTTGTGAAGGACGCAGGAGGCTTTATGAGAGTATAGAGCACGCTGACGACAGTGTTGTTCGGTTTGGAAATAAAGTTTGTTTTGAATATTGAAAGTAATACGTTGGGAATTTAACGGATTCTTTGTTATAAAACAAATAGAAAAGCCTTAACTGTGCTCTGTTCTGTTGTAAAGCACGCAGGAGGCGGCTAAAGAACGAAAGAAGTGTAGGGAGAAACACGCGACTACGTCTCGTGTTTCTCCCTACTTCTTGAGTGCTCTAGCCGCTTCCTAAGTATAGGACTTCACGTCATGACGAATTTTTGTCTCGATTTTTGCATCCGCTTAAAATTTAAAAAATGTCAAATTTCGTCAGCGCTTTATCTGCTCATGAAACCAGCTGGCATAGTTTGCCAATGGACTCAAACTCCAATTTCAGGATTCATCGTACGTCGTTTCAAAGTTTTAAAATTTACGAGTTTCGCGACAAAAGAAAATTAATGCCTTCCAGGTAAATTTTAGTGAGTTCAATAATAAGCTAGTGACAGCTTTTACGACTAATGGCGTTGAAAACTCAGTCTTTTCACTGCCTCACATTCTTCTTTTTGCTCTGGATGCTAAAAAATACTTTTACTACATTTGCAGTGTTCTCTCAGGTGTTCTGATGTTTAAAACATACCAATAACTTTTATTTTTTCCAAATTAGGGCTGAAATACCCAAAGCCACTCCTACTATCCGCTAGCGGATATGGACCCCCCAACAAAACTGAGTGAAACATCATGCTTTACGTTCTAGTAAAAATGGATGATACTTTACGTTCCAGTGCGTACTAAAGTATGTTTTAATTCAAAACATGCGTATCGTTAATGCATACGAACTGGTATCCCGTGGGATTTTTCTTTTGACCAAGGGAAAATGGGCAAGAACTTAGTTTAATGTCTGGAGAAAGGTCGTTTTTGAACCTTTTCCGCGATAGTCGAACATCATTAGATTCAATAAGAGACAAACTTAATTGACACTAATTTTTTTTGTCATTGTTCAATGCCCGAGTGTTGGGACGACGTGGTACAGTGCGAGTTGTGCGAGGAATGGTTACATATGAGCTGCGAGGGATTTAAGACTGCCCCGGAGGGCGAGTGGCCCTGCATTGTCTGCAGATCGCCAGACTCTAGACGTCTTCGTAATTGTTAAGGTGTTATTTCAGATCCCTCAACAGCTAATAATCGTTAAAATTAGAAAATAAGAAAATAAGAAAATAAGATAGTCTCCACTTTTCTTAAGACGTTGACGTTAATGTTGATTTGCATCTGAAAATAAGCTGAGAGTTCCAATAGTTCAGAATAGAATCGTTTTTTCTTATTATAGGCTTTACGAGCGACTTGCATTAGGAGTAGTTTGTTCGTTTTTGTTCAAAAACTGTTTAATGTTATTATTTTAGAAAATGAGACTTACTTATTTTTGTGACTGGACGCAATAGTCTCCACTATTGTTATGACGTTTCGTACCAATGTTGATTCGCATTAGAAGAAGCAAAGATCTATTATTGTAGCAATTTTAAGAGTTTGAATGGAGTAGTTTGTTCACATCTAATTGCGTATACTGTACGATCGCTATAACAAATGCGGTAGAATTGGAACGAAATGGCTGTTTTTTTTTTAACCTTTATTGAGGAATGTTGTGTTGTAGTTGAAAAGAACATCGACAAAAAAGCTTGCAAATAGAATTAGTTACCAAATATGATACAAAGGATGCTTAAAAGGAAAGTTTGGTAGGGGGGTCCAAATCTGCGAAGGGGGGGGGGGTCCAAATCCGCTGTGACACCGGCTAAAAATTCATTCAAGAATGTACTCAGCACGTCCTTTTTTTCTTTATTATAATTCACCCATTAATCTTTGCATGATACTACTGGCTATTTTGCATCACGTGGTACATATACAAGGTAATAACCCCCACTTATATAAACATTTGTCCTTCTATTATTTCTGTTGAAAAGAGAAAAATCTAGCTGAAAAAATACTAGTGTAGAAAGTCACCTTTCCATCAACCAGCCACCTGAAGGGGTTTATGACTGATTTTTATAATTGATGTTTGTCTTGTTAAGTTTCTTGGAAGCACTAACTTGTGAACAAAATATGATCGGGAACTGACTCCACACTATGGGCTTAACAGCCCTGCCACTACCAGGAGTGGCCCAAAGCTAATTTCTCCTTATAGTTGCAATAAATTGTCAAGCAGAAAGACAACGAGAAGAAAGTAAACTATCAACTAGGAGGATAGTGTTCGATTTGATACCACATTCTCTGGGTTTGAATTACAAGAAATGTACGGCAATTGGTGGGGAGAGTTTGATATCATAAATTGGGATTAAACTGGACAAATCATGATCGTATGCCAGCAGTAAGGTCACTATGCTGTGTTTTTGTTTTACCTTAATATCGCGGGATTTCGAAGACGCCGAAAGCTTCGAAAAGACTTCAAAGAGTCTAAACTGTGTCGGGAAAAACGTTACAAAGCTCAATCCACTCTGTAAAACGATACCAAAGAGTTTCCCAAACTATATCACATTTCCACAAGAATGAAACCACATGTTAACAATATGGACGACAATGAAGTAAAACGTGACCTTTGAACCAAGGTGATACTTATCATAGATTTCATAGATTATCACGTTTGCTACATTTCTTCTTGTTGACAAAACTTGCCATAGGACTTGCAGGACTAAGGTTGTTTTTCTGTTTAAGAAAGTTTATGGAACTTGATTCTACGAATGTAGGGGGTTTTGAACGAAGCTGATTGCTTTGGTTGACCCCACATGTTTTGAATAGTGCCCTTTGTTGTGAAAATCGATGTCATTAGCCATTGCATGTGGAAATTGGACCGACGTAAAGAAATGTCTTTGTTGAAGTTTTTTTTTTAACACTCATCAATTCAAAGTAAGACGATGACTGTAACTGAAACTGATCTTTTAAGAATAAATGGCAAGTGAAAAGAGCATCGCTCCGACATCTCAAAGTTATGATAACGCCGAATAAGATCAACTGTAGAAATATTTCAAACTATACCAAATTTTATCATATCATTTCGATGTCTTCATTTTTCTTTCGGGCACCCTTGCCTTTCGCTAACCGTACAACTTTTTGTGTTGTGTTGCTTTGTCTCCTGTTTCACCTTTAAGTTGTTTTTTTTTTTCTTTTGTTTGAGAAACATTGAAAGAAATGTGACCTTGTTAGAAATTTGTCACATGCTAGGAAACCCGTCAAATGTGTTAGTATGGGAAACAAAGAGTACACTTACATTTGCCTCGCTGTTAACATGTGGCTACGTTTCCATGTTGGTAGTAACAAATCAATAAATGTCTCGGAGGCACCGGTTTGAACAGTGTAAAAGTGTTCATTTACTCAGGATTTTTATTCTAAAATTACTTATTTGCATATCAAAAATGATTCATTTCGTTTGTTTGTAAAACCTACCTTTAACAATCTCTTACTGGTGAAAAGAGCAACCTTGGATATCACCTTTGTAGTGGAAAGGAGTTTTGGATTCAAGTAACATAGATATGTTGACAAACTGATATATTTGGAAAGCAAGAAACTTTTTCGAGTGAGAGATTAGATTACTTTTATTACCAAGATAAAATGTAATTAGGTGTATTTACGGCTATGAATATACTCTCTGAAATCGTCCACAACTATTCAGACTTACGCTAAAGGTCTTTTTCCGTAAATCATATCCATATTAGGGCAAAAAATTAAATCAAGATAACATTTGTTGATATTCATCCAGTAGTCTAAAATGTGGGTTTATTGAATGCTTGCAAGTCATATTTTTCAGTTGAACAACGAATTTTTGGTTGTGTGCTTTTAAAACAGAACCGTTTTGAATGGGGTGTAGAAAGCTAAGTAATCAGGGATTGCTTTGGATTTGCCTCACTCCGCTCTATGATTGGTGCAAAGAACTCGCACCACTCTCTCATCCAATCAGATGCAAACCTAAAGCCAATCACGACTTGGACACCCGTGTTTTCCCGCGCTTTGGGCAATTTGCGTGGTTTTACTTTGAGTTCTCTAATCTTCTGATTGATTGTTGTGATAACTTTGGTTTTCGGTTTACGACACTCAATAGAAAAACGCTCTATGAGCCAGTTATCATCTACTGCTATAAACTTATATCGTTCAAACGGCAACAACCTAAAGTTGATCATCTTTTCAGAGAAGATATTTGCACATTCAAAAACCGGCTACCTAACTCATTCACCTATTTCTAATAAGAAAAAAAGTATATGTTACTTTCGCGTGGCTTAGATTATTATTCGGGAATATGATTAGAATCCTCAGTGGATTTTTTTTTACTTTTATTTTTAAAAATCTCTTAAAACACTTGGAGGCTAAAACATATCCTTCCTGCTTAAGTTTCTTAGTTTCAGTCAGGCACCACCGCATCCCTATCAGAAGAAAAATATAACACTGTTAATGGTTAAAGCATAGATATATCTCTACAAATGCAGTTCTGGAACTTCTAAGTCTTCCGTGTCATAAATTGAGAAATTTCCAGGTGAGTGTCTGAAGTAACTCGGGTTTGCCTCGGTTGCGCCGCTTTCTTAACTTAACAAATTCTCACGTCTCGGGTAGTTCGCCTGTTTGCTTTGAGTTGTCCTGGGTTCCCTGTGATATTTTCCTTTGTTCTGATTGGCTATTGTATTACTTAGTTCACTTTTTGTTTTACGACTCTCGATCGAAATGCGCACTATTGTTACGAGTAAAATTACCTCCTCTTATCAATTTAAGTGTTCTTCGCTGAGGAGAAGGAGACCAGGAAATAAAATTGTTATTTGGATCAGGGCCCAGTTTTTCAGGAGGTGGTAACGGTATCCAACGGATGAATCGCTATCCAGCGGATAAGTGACAACAAAATGTACCGCAGTATCCACCGGAAAGAGATTCACCAGGCGTTTGGCGTTATCTACTCCTCGGACAACCGGCAATAGATCAATAACGGAAAACCATATTGGCTCGAAGTAATCCATCAAGACAAAATAGACATCAAATTTAGTAGCAAAAACGCATGAGATTGTTAAGAAAACTGACGTGTCGCACGTTTCTGTGGTTGGTGTACGTATTGCTCGTTGTTTATACGCGATTGAAAAAACGTTGACTCCTAAACAGCATGGTCCGCGAATGTTGATACCCAACGGCTTTATGGGAAATGTTACATAATTTCCATGACTCATGGCAAACCCCCGTGTATGATAATTGTTTTCTGTTAGAAGAGTGTGTGTGGCTTCTATCATGTACCACGTGCAAAACAATGTCGTTATCATGTTTTTATGTACCCATAAAGCTTCTGGGTCTCATCTTCGATTGTCTTTTAAGTGTCAACGTTTATGTAATCGAGTGTACAGCAAGAAGGACCAGAGTAAACATTTCTACTAGAATGCCACAATTCTCAGTGTTTTTAAATTAGATATTTACCGATCATCGTATATTTTGTTCACTGCATAGTTTAATTCATTGGTTCCCCTGCAAAGCAGAAAGAAAGAGTGGATAGCGTACGTGAATAACCGAGATGACAACTATTAAAAAAGCAGGTTTACAACTAACAGAATGCCAAATCAATCAGCAAAAGTATTCGTTTGATGATTAAAATATGATGATTAAAAAATCATGACTTGCATATTTAACCTTATGCAGTTAGTAATCTGGAAAACAACAATTAAATTAATGGTTGGTGAGTCAGTGCACTAAAATTTAATTGGTTTAGACGTTTGTCTTTACAAACAAAGAAACAAAAACAAAATGCGATTTGTACTCACGTTTGAAATGCAACTGTGTTGCTGTCCACATTCTTTTGACCTCTCCTATTTTAAAACAAGTTTATTGGTTGACATCAAAGGAAAAGAACAAAAGGAAGGGTTTTATCTTCATGATATGTTAATATCATTCCAACATCTAGGTGTATTTTACTAAAATAACCCTGGCCATTTTTACGGTTCCATGATATGGAAATTTTTACATCCGTTAGATATAGTAGGTCTTCCCGTCAAGTAGTTTTTTCTCACCTTTTCCAGTAAAAGAATACACCCAATGCCACGACGGCGATTAAAATGATTACCAAGGGTAACACCACAGCAAGTACATTTACGCCTATCAAAGAATGGAAAGCATTCATCAGTAAAACTACCGAGTGGAGGGAATTGGTTTTCCTCATATCTCAAAAAGAAAGAGCTACTAAGAAAGATTTTTTTCGTCATGCCATGAAAATAAGATAGGGAGGTATTATCAGCCCTCTTCACCATACTTTATTTTTGGCCCACCTTGATCATCTTGAAAAATGCTATACACAGTAAATTCGTGTTTCTCGAACGAATTTAATTTGTCTGCACTGAGGTGTATTTTTCCTCGAAACTGACTCGGATCAACCTTTCTGTTGACCAAAATTCTGGAACTATGGGCTATAAAGGCGACAAAAACAATTCAAAGTCCATTTCGACAAAATGGCGGCAGGGTGATGACCCTAGATGAAAAAGGAAACAAATACTAAGCTATTGAGTGACATCAGAAACCTAGGAAAGCTCTTGGGCAAATGTTTTGAAAAAAAGTTTTAGATATTTTGGCTTTTTGGCAAAGTCAACCTTAGTCTCCGTAATGACTACTCGGTAAGAGTACTCACTGCTTTCCTACGCTTTTAAACATATAACTACACAAGGTTTAATCTTTGCGATGATGCAACCTGGGTTTTTCGCCAACCAGGTGTGATGTAAAGAGCTCATATAGTTCCAGCTGTAACTATCTTTTTAGTTTCGTCCAATGCTACCTTAGCTTAACCATTTGCATGCTCTTTGTGTAATTACAGTCAACTAGATCCTTTGCTGCCCTGTTCTACGTAAGTCCAACCTTTTTTAAAATCAATTTAAATCAACTTAAAAAACATAACACGATTATGATTAAATTGGTAACCCCTGAACGAGAGTAGGTGAGAAAAATATTAATTATGCTGCCTAGTTTCTATAATTTCCTTTGCAGTGGTTGTCGGGTCGCTACAAGCGACGTGTTAGGTTCTTTTAACGCGTCGGATGACGAGACATCACAACGATTAAAACACAGTTTCAGCGGCACCTTCCGTTTTCCTGTTTCCTTGTTGCTCTCCGAGTATTCCCCCTTCTTTGTCTGTGTAATCTTCTGTCGTCATTTCTGACGGTGGTACAGTTGGCGAACCGGTAAACACTAGGAGGTCAAGTAAAGTTTCAAATTCCGGTTTCTGATTCTCCTCTAAGGAGATAAATCGAAACATGCACAAGAACTCGCCGTAACAGCACGACGCCAGGGGAACCTAATGAAATGAAGACTAATTCGAGAAAAATTTTCTCATCGCAAAACAAATATATATGAAAGGGAGGAATAAGATGATTGTTATTATATCCTGTTTGGAATCACTGGCGATCCTCTGACACTGACTGGTTCTCAGCAGTATCGCGTATACAAGGTTCACACTATATTTTTCCTAAGATGAAAAACTAAAGTAGAAAAACTAGTCTTTCAAGGCTTCCAATTGTGGACTGCAAAAAGTCAAAATGTAGAAAAAAAAATGATGTAAGAAATGTAAAAGAGGAACAGTTAACGGTTGTGTAATGTAGTTTTGGTCTAAAATCATAATCAGTGATTTTAAATCGATCACGTGCTGCCCGCTCGTTGGATTTGAACTCCAGTCTATTCAATTACCTTCATGAAATTGAGCACATTTTGAAACTGACTAGCAGACTTATTAGCTATAGCACACTCTATCAGGTATCGCACCCAATGTGTCTCCATGGGCAGAAGCGGTCACTATACCTGAGCAGCCGTAGATTTCCATCCTCATCGATATATGATTGTGCCACGCAACAGGTATCAGGCGAATGTAACGCGCTGTTATTGGTGGAATGAGCACATTTTTTACAACTGTGTCACTGTTCTGATTTCCATAAAATACCTGATGTTGAGACAGTAAAGACTTAAAACGGAAGCCAAAAATGATCAGTTTCCTGGGTAACGTTCTGGTGCATAAGGCTCATACAATAAATCTTACGTTTGGTATAGCATTGTATGGCCTACAGTTGCTGTACATAAAATAAGCACTTAAGTCAAAATGGGGTCAGGCAGCTAACCTCTCTACTCTCGTCAGCAGTAATCATACCTTTGCTGAACTGTCTTCCGTTACATTATAAAATTCAAAAGTCACTCCGTCACTGCTATACTGTATGCGGTATCTGGACACCCACTGGTCGTTCCCATTCATCCCCTGAGTCGCAACACCTGTCACTCGAGAGTTATCACCGATATCCACTTGAAGCCACTGATTGAAGTTATTGCTCATGGCTGACCATCCCCCTCTCTTGTTCCCGTCTGCTTTCGAATTTAACCTTGCCTCCTTTGCGCCGTGATCCTCATCCATTTGTGAGGATACCTTTAGGTTGGCATCAGATATTTCTTTATTCTCCACACCAAGTACTGCGGCACATCCTGTGTTTGAAAAAATATATATTGTTTCAAAAAATAATAATTTGGATCGTTTCAATATAGCAACACATTTGAGTAACCTTCCAACAATAAGATTCTGCTTAGTTGGTTTAACTGCTTGGATTGCTTCATTTCATCACGTAAGGGACCATTCTGTAAAATTAATGGCGTCTTTTTGTCAAATAACCTATTTATAAAATGATTAGTTCTAATTGTTTCTTTAAAGCACCTGGACAGCCATAGATCTCTATCCTCATTGAGATATGATTGTGCCACTCCACCGGTATTAGCCGTATAAACCTTGTTGTGATTGGTGGGCTCAAACTGCTGTGAACCACTGCCTCGCTGTTTTGATTTCCAGTGAAAACCTTCAAGACAATCACAAGGAAAACTGTCATTATCTTGCATGCGAAAAATTTCTATCTCATGTTTAAACTAGATGACAAATGTCACAAAAAGGAGTGTTCTTGATATGAATTATAATCAGTTTGATTGTGGAGCTGATTTTATCTCATCCATTTTTGTCACAGTAAGGAAAACAAGCACGATATTCGTTTCCCTAAGGTGCACTTTTTTCAAGGCTTAGCTACTAACGTCATCAGGAAGACCACCTTTTTTAAGTTGCAGACGATCAGTCTTAAAATGATTTAACATACCCTCGCTACGCTGGCATTTGATGGTTTGTACACCTGGAAGCTCTGGCCATCCTCACCGTACTCCACCCTATACTTGGTCACCCACTGATCGTGCCCATTCCTTCCTTGAGTGGCTAAACGTGTCACACGCGTGTAAGTACCAAGATCTACTTGAAGCCATTGGTTAGCATCATTTGCGAGAGATGACCAACCTCCCCCAAAGCCACCGTCCGCTTTATAATTCAACCTGGCCTGACTTGCAAGGCTTTTGTCATCCAAAATCGAGGATGTAGTTATCTTTGAGTCAGCGATATGTCCGCTTTCCATGCCAAGAGGTGTGATGCAGTCTACAAGATGCAAATCAAGAACCAGGAAGAAAATGTACTTTCCTTTGAGGGAATGGTCAGATTTAATTTGAATAGCTACCGATAAAAAAACACTGACACTAGTCGAATTTAATTTTTTTTCAACCTAGAAGACAAGTATTTTTATGGCCTTTTTCACAATCAGATAAAAACAAAAAATAGCTCGTGGATGGAAACGATCATGCGGTTGACTTGATTCATCTAAACCTGCATCTTTTTTAATGAGTAACTGAACTAAGATGAATACCCTTACCACAAGCCACTTCTACGATTTTTGTAAACCCGTTTTTCAAAATGTCCGTAGTCATGTCATTGAAGAAGATACTTTTCAACTATGAAAGACAGAAGTCGTTCGAAATGATTGAATCTACCTGGGCATCCGTAAATCTCAATTCTCATTGATATGTGTTTATGCCACTCTATCGGCAATAATCGGACGAAACGTGCTCTGATCGGCTCGCTCAGTCTTTTGACTACAACTGTGGAACTGTCTTCATTTCCATCGAAAACCTTCAAAAGCAAGTTTTAATAAACAGCGTAATTGACGTTCAGTTTGCTTCATTCTCTCGCAATTTCCCAAAAACTTACTTATCCGCCCAACCACCTATCTAGCCACTTGCTCTCCCCCAAACAGTCATTTACAGCACACAATTGCCAAAACTGGGCTGAACGTTTTCTCATTTACATCCATAGGCATCATATTGATTATACCATCACGGTGTACGATAAAAATTAATTACTTTCAGGTTATCCTGACTTCATCGTTAGAATACAGCGCTGAGGACATACCTGTGCAGAACTGTGTTCTGCTTTCTTGTAAAATCGGAAATTTATCCCAGAATAGCTAAATTGTATTCTGTATTTTGTCACCCACTCGTCGAGGCCATCTATCCCCTGTGTTGCTACACGCGTCACAATTGCTTCACTTCCAAGGTCCACCTGTAACCATTGATAAAGATCGTTCTTGCGAGCAGACCACCCCCTATTTTTACTATCAGTGGCCGCTTGAATGTGCAACCTGGCCTGCGATGGAGCCCGGTCATCATTCAGTTGTGAGGAGGCATATATTTGCGCATCAGAGATTGATTTACTTTCCATGCCGAGGGGGGATACACAGCCTGGGTAAGTCGAAAGAAACACGCAGATGTTAGTATCTTTTAATCCGTACAATTAAGTGTTGACATTTGGAATCGCTTTTAACTTATTTATTTATGCCATACCTCCCACATAGCCCTTCAAATTTAAAGCTGAGGCCATACCTTTAGAAGGTAATTAATTTTCTAAGGAAACTTTCGCACAGCGAGGACTTCCAAGTTAAATAGTTAGTTAAGAAACAACGTGAGTTGTGAAAGGAAACTTAATCACCTCAACAAACTTTGAAAAGCTAGATGGTTAAATTATCCCAATCAACGTTACGATGATTGCAGGTCACGAATTTTCCGGGGAATTTTCCACGCCAGGGGCTGGTTTTCCATCCTTAAGCAGGTAATTAATACCGTTTTCGTGATTTGCAGTTGCAGATGTGTTTTTTGCTTGTACAGATACGTGTAAGACAAATAAAAACAAATACATAACCATATAATAATAATCATGATAATGATGATTTTGATAACTATAGCGGTAGAGTTAATAATGGTGATCAAAGTGATGATATTAACTTAAACATTAAGTTTTAATGGCAATAAAATATGACAGTGATAAGAATAAAGGTAATAAAGATTAGAAACAATGAAAAATATGAGGAGAAATGAGAAATTACCTGGACAGCCATAGATCTCAGCCCTCATGGATATGTGTCGGTACCAACTCACCGGTCTAATTCGTATGTAGCGTGCTCTGATTGGTTTGCGTATTTCGTGATAAATGACGGTCTCTCTGTCACTATTACCACGAAAGACCTATGTAAAATTATGAAGACAAGTGGAAAGTGAGCTTTTGATCAGAACATCGATAATGACAATTGATCGGTGTGAGGATACTTTAGTGTAGATCAGCCGACTTCAACATGTTTCAAATGACATATAAGTATATCAGTGTATCTTCAGAGGACTTCGGGTTGCTCAAATTCCATGAAAGAAGGTGCAGCACTCGGAATCTGGATGATATATACACGATTTGAGGTATATGTTTAAAGTTACGTCGAGTAGTCCTCCATTAAGTTTGATAAATTTTTTTTTAAAAGATGACAACCAGAGGCGAGATTTCTCTTCGGGATATTGCTCATAAGATAACATTCTTCAAAAGCCGTGCATGTTTCATTTGTCTGAAACATTTGTTGTTGAGAACATTAGATGTAAACATCGCCAAATCATGCAATATCTGATTTTGAGCTTTTTTCGCGTATTGCCCCTATTACAAGTAGAGGCAGGCCCGCAGAGATTTTTACATATTTAAAAACTAGAATATTATAAACAGCTAGTTGGGTAGTTTCAGTTCCAGAATCGGTGTACGTTTGGAGAAGTTCAGATAAACGTTTTCCCTGTTTTACCCGACAAAAAAAATGACCGAAACTGTACCAAGATGAATAATCTAGTGGTGTGTTCACATTCACTCTCAGGGAAAATTGAATAGATCAAAGTGAAGACGAATGATGTCACTATGTATGGTACAAGTGCCAATTTGTAATGTTGTATTTAGCTTGAGATAGAGAAATAAACATTTCACTCTTTTTTTGCGACGTTTTTGTATGAAAATGAGGACCTAGGCCTCGAGCAAGCAGTCGTTGTTACCATGGCAACAAGAGTGCTGCGACCTTTAAAAAGGGCATTTTTGTGCATCCCCCCTAAGTGCCTAACTGCATGCAAAATTTGAAGGGGGGTTGAAAACTTTCATTTCCCAAGATGTTTGATTCTTACAGAGACTTGTTCTTAATGTCTTAAAAATAGAAACAATAGAACTAGCTAGGTATACCTTTTCAGCTTCGAGTGGCGAAGCCTTATAAAACTGAAAAGTTACTCCATCGTCACTATACTGCAACTTATATGCTGTCACATATTGGTCATAGCGTTGTCTGCCTTGGGTCGCTATACCAGTCACTGTAGTGTATTGACCAAGATCCACCTGAAACCACTGGTTTAAATCATTTGCACGTGATGACCAACTTCCGGAGGTTCCCGGAAGTTTCTTATAATGTAACCTTCCTTGCCTGGCCCCATGATTGCCATCCCACTGTGAAGAAACACTTATCTGTGCATCGGTGATTGCCCCGCTATCCATGCCAAGTGGCGCTGCACAACCTGTTTGTATTGAAACGGACATGAAGGTGAAAGGTGTATCTTTTTACGAACAGTTAAAATCTTCGTTTTAGCGGAGCATGATACGTTTGTTCTCTAAACTTAAATTTTCAAAAATTAATAAATCGGAACGTTTCTCATCCGGCCCCCACGATGTTTTTTTAATTATCAAAGAGTTATATTGAAAGTCTATGATTGATATTTAAAGTTTCAGTTGCTTTTAAGGTTTTATCAAATCGTTTCTACCGCGTCAACTGTGTCCGGCTATTGCCAGAAAGAGGTGTACCTGGGCATCCGTAAATCTCCATTCTCATCGATATTCGGTCGTTCCAGTTAAGCGGTTTCAATCGGATGTAACGAGTGGTTATTGGTGGGCTCAATATGTTATAAACAACAGTATTTTGGTCTTGATTGCCATTGAACACCTAAACAATAAACAAAGGAATAAAGAATTTGGGTAAATTTCTTATCACGGCTTAGGTTTGTTCAACCGACAGATTTTATGCAGACTTGATGAGCAGATAAATGTATGAGTTCTGATGGATGAATGGTGAGATGGACGAAAGATGGACCGTGGATCGGTGGATTGAGCGGATGGATGGTAAGGATGGATGGATGGATGAATAAAGGAATTAATGGAAGGAGGGAGAGATGGATGGATTAAGCGAAAGTATGGAATGGATTAATGGTTGGGGATTAGATAAATAGATAAATAGAAAACCTCATTTAACCCGGTAATTTTGACCAAAGTTTACAATGTGCTGCACTTTCGTTATTCCCAAAAGCCATGAACTACAAAATTACCACTAGGCTTTTAAACATTTAGAAATTTATATTGGTTAATGTAAATGATGGTTTTAATTTACTATAGAAAGAGTTTAGACACCATCTTACAAATAAAGTGTTTCACTAAAAATAAATAGAGAGATTGAGAAAATCTAATTTTTCTTTGAAGCTTAAATGTATTTTTCATGTTTCACTTCGTTTGAAGACGTATTCCAAACTTTTGTCCCAGTGTAAGTAGAACTGTTCCGCTAGTAGTCTGTTTTAGCAACCGATTAAGCTAGATTTCTAACGAAGGTTCTTGGATTATGCACTGATTTCCCAAATACTACTCGAAAAGATATCTTCTAACTAAGCTGGGGTCATACATAAAGTTTTTCGGTGAAGTGGCCATAGACGTTATCCCATACAATGCCACAATTATCATAGTATGGTTCCATAATTGAATGAGACGCAATAATCAGGTTAGGAACAAAAAGCTTAGTGGATGAATAAATAAGTGGATGGAAGAATCAGTGGATGGAAAGATAGATGGATTGAGCGACTGCATGGATAAATGGGTAAATGAGTAAAAGGATGAATGGATGGATTTTTGGACGGATTTGTAAATGGAGGCATTTATGAACAGATGGAGGGAAGAAGAGACGGAGGGAAAGAGGAGTCGGTGGATGGATGAACTTCATTTCTCGACCAGGTTTTATTTTCTTCTTTTTGTCAGCTTTATACTCTTTCATGAAGCAGCAGCGAACGTTATCTGCACGATATCTGTTGACAAAAGTCTGCAACTTAGCAGAGAAAATAAAAATTTAGGATATCTGGTACCTTTGCAGGGCTGGATCTAGCTTCCCTGTAGAGGTGGAATGTTATTCCATCATCACTATATTGTAACATATATCTAGTCACCCACTGATCGTAGCCATTCATCCCCTGAGTCGCCAAGCGCGTCACTTTTGTGTAACTACCAAAATCCACTTGAAGCCATTGGTTCTGATCATTTGTGAGTGCTGACCAACCCCCAACTTTGTCACCATCCGCTTGGAAATGTAACCTGGCCTGTGATGCAGAGTGATTGTCATCCAGTTGTGATGATGCTGTTATCTGAGTATCAGATATGGATCCAAATGCCATTCCAAGAGGATTTACGCAGCCTTAGTTTGACAAAAAAAAAAAGGTGACAGTTTTTCACGGATGCCATCGTTTGATTGATAACGGCTACCTACTCCTGTGCTAAGAATCATAGTTAAAGATATTGTCATTCACAACTTGCAGCGTACCACAGATAGCCTTTACAAAAATGATTAACATCGGGGAAAAGAGATGGAATTTGTTATCTGTACAGCAGCTCAAAAGAAAGTCAAACTTTAATATTTAATATGTCTCCTTCAAGTAAATAAGATTATTCTAGATACCTGGACAGCCATAGATCTCGATCCTCATTGATATTCGATTGTGCCACTCAGCGGGTTTGAATCGAATGTAACGCGTTATAATTGGTGGAGTCAGCGTGTTGTACACGACAGTGTCACTGTCTGTATTTCCATCGAAAACCTTAATAGAGAAACAAAAAATACCTTAGATGATTATTCAAAGTTTTTTTGGAATTGATTTTTCTTAACGCCTAAGTAAAAAATGCCTCTGTTCTAGTTTCTTACAGTTCGTTTCAAATTAGCAACATTCTGATTAGGGTTGTCTACCATCAGTTGGATGAACGTCGATCTCCATGACTACAAATGTTTTAGCCAGTGACATCTTCCCTGAACTGAACGCGCGAAGGATGAGCTCTTGAAGTTTTGTGGGGTAACATTTCAACAAATATATTTGATCTGAGAGTTATATTCTCAACACGTGCAAGTTAAAAGTAAACAAAATTTGGTAGCAATACTACCGCAAATTTTATCTGTTGTCGCTGGATTCCTTCAAAGTTGACGAGGGAATATTGAAATAGACTGGAAAGGCTTTGCCTATTGGGATGGGACGAAATTTTATTTTTACCTTTTATCGACTATTGCATTAGTGTTGACATTCTATAACCTATCACCGAAATCTGGGAAAACTGCATTACGTTACAAACCTGCGCAGCAAAATGTCCTGGATCCTCAAAGAAATGAAAGATGTCCTCATTTTCACCGTATTGCAGTCTGAACTTGGTCACCCAATCGTCACACCCATTCCCTCCCTGCGTAGCAATGCCCGTCACCCTTATATAACTACCAAGATCCACCTGAAGCCATTGGTTTACGTCATTTTTGAGCGCTGACCAGCTTCCTCCGTTTTCTCTATTTGCCTTTGAATGTAACCTGGAATGCTTTGCAGAGTGATTTTCATCCAGCTGCGTTGACGACTTGATTTGAGAATCCGAAATTTTGCGATTTTCCATGCCATACGGGGACATACAGCCTAGATTAAAAACGAAAACGATGTTTTAAGGAGATTGTCTTTGGACTAAAGGTAAGAGGATTGACTGGGGCTGGGTTCAATTCGTTCTGTGATAATACAAGCCCTGAATCAGGAGTTTGATTATAGACAGAAACGTCTGTAACCCATTCATCAAAACTGTAGCAATATTTGAGGAACTAAATGATCGTCGGTTAAACGTATTTATTAGAAAAAAAAACATAACAATAGATTTTTTCATGAGAAAGTGGCCCAAGCGTCGATTCACTAGCACACTCGAATGACGTTTACTGTCAAGTTACACATTTGGACACCGAAAAAGGCTTTTACACCGTCCAGTTACTGTCATTACATCTAAACTGCTTTCTTAGCGCTTTTATCAGTTTGTTGATAACCAATTACGTTCGAGAATATTGGCATAGTCACTAGTTTAAAGACTGCGAAATACCTGGACAGCCGTATAACTCCATCCTCATCGAGATGTGGCTATTCCACGTCATTGGTATCAGCCGTATGTACCGAGCTGTTATTGGCGAAGTTAGTTTGTTGTATACGACAGTATCTGAATCTCGGTTTCCATCAAACACCTAAGTATAATAAAAGTAGATTTTAAAGAAATATTCCAGGATTTAAACATTGTTTGAGGACACTCCCATCTGTTTCTCCTTTCAAGATGCGTCATAGTTGATATTTCATTCACATCTGTAGTGCAGAGTGTATTAGGTAAGGGAAGAGATCCCTAATACGTTCATAAACTAAAGTGAGGTCCATGGTAGTAATCTATTTTAAATAGTTTGCTCTATAATGATTTATTTCGTTGTGAAAAATAGCCTATGGGGTAGGCCTATAAAGTGAGGTTTTACCAGTGAAATTGTTACCACACCTTTTCTGAGCTGCTGTCAGATTCCTTGTAGAAAGTGAAGGTCACACCATCATCGCTATATTGCAATTTGTATTTGGTGACCCATTCTTTGAATCCGTTTCTTCCCTGGGTCGCTATTACCGTTACCCTCGCAAAAGTATTAAGATCCACTTGTAGCCACTGATTACGATCATCCGTGAGAGTCGTCCAGCCACCTTGCTTTTGACCATTTCTCGTAAGGTGTAGTCTACCTTGTATTGCAGAATGATTTCCATCCAGTTGCGAGGAGGCACTTATCTGAGCATCTTCTATTGTCTGACTTTCCATTCCAAGGGCAGTCATACATGCTGCATTTGTTGTAAAGAGATAAGCGTCAGATACAGATACTATCCTAACTTTACACGACGCTTTTATTCAATTTTTCTTTCAATAATTGCTTCTGACAAACTATTGTAGTCACCAAAAGGAGTGGTTCATTTCAGTCAAGATTATTTCAATAGAATACCAAAATTATATCCCACGCAGTTATCTCACTGTACCTACTATTTTTCTCAAAATTCTCTAATTTATGATGAACGAGAAATGATGTCGCGACGCTAAGACTCTTCTCACTCGCTGGTATATGCCCGTGGCTGAAAGACTGTCTTTAAAATTTGACAGAAGATTTTAAAGTCCTATTACGCTTCTCGGTCAATCTAGTTAATTGTTTTCTGAGGTTTTTTTGGTCAGCGGATTCTAAAATCTAGATCAATAATCGCCACACCTGGACAGCCAAAGATCTCTGTTCTCATGGAAATATTATTGTGCCAACTGATTGGTATAAACCGTATAAACCTTGCTGTGGTTGGAGGATTCAGATTGTTATACACAATGGTATCACTTCCTTTATTCCCGTTCAGCTCCTGTAAATTGTAAGCGGCATGGATTAAGTTTATTTCTGGAAGGGCCCTCGAAAGTGACAAACACTGCCCTCAAAAGGCCCTTACCTTTCATTTGTAATCAGAGTCAAACTATGTGTCAAAGTAAAATTTCAAGAAAATAAACAAAATATACGTATGTTTCAAAATTATTGCATTTGTTGAAAACAGTATGGATTGAAAGAGTCGTCCCTATCTCGCCTTTGGATATTGCTCTTGTCCATCACACGCATGTGACATCTAACTAAGACATACCGTCCATTCGTTGTCACCCTGTTGCTTGTAATTCTGGAAGTTTTTTCCATCGTCACTAAATTGTAACTTGTATTTGGTCACCCATTCGTCGGTGGCATTCAACCCTTGAGTCGCCACACGCGTCACTCTAGTATAACTGCCAAGATCGACCTGCAACCATGGGTTTTCGTCGTTTGGCTGAGCCGACCATCCCCCAGCCTTATTTTCTACTTCTTTAAAATTCAACCTGGCCTGACTTGGAGAATGGCTGTCATCCAGTCGCGAAGAAGAACTGACCTGGACATCAGTGATCGTTCCATCCTCCATACCAAGCGGTTCAAAGCATCCTGGGTTGTTTTCAAAAAAGGGCAAAAATTAAGAGAAAAGAAGAAGAAGTAAAATGAAAAAGAAAAAGAGAAAGAGCGAGAGGAAGAAGAAAAAGCGAATGGGGTGCTTTATCTATTTGCTGGAATGAGCTAACCAATCTTCGATTTGCTACACAGGCAATCTAGGATCACTATGAATAATCAATTTTAACCTGCTTTGATAGGAAATTAATTAAAGATGTGGTCTGCCAGAGCTGCCTGTGATGCATTGGCTAATTTATATATTTGTTCTACACCGCGATGTACCTGCGCAGCCATAGATTTCCACTCTCATAGAGATGTGATTTCGCCATTCAACCGGAATGAACCGGATGTAACGTGCCGTAATTTGCCTTGCCAATTTGTGGTACACAATGCTGTCTCGGTTTTGATTACCACTAAACACCTGAAAAGAATATCATCATATCTTATTCTTTGGACACATTGTGACAAGCCGATTTATGCTGACTTCTGGAAACTTACTAAAGAGTCGAGGAGAAGTCTTTTATAACCGGATTGATTCTTCAGAAGATGAATGAAGTTTAACTTGTTACGAATCTGGATTTGTTCTTTTATCGAAGGTGGCTAAGAAGGAAATTTAATTTTGATGGAAAACCTCAATCTCCAATCTCAATCTCCTCGCCTTTGAAACCTTTAATTTAGTCGGATCGTCAAATATTCAATCCTGCTTCCATAGTTCACCATGATTTCTAAAGCTAGCTTTTGATTCTTTTCTCAGTTTTTTTTCCCTTTTTCGGATGTTTCCGTACAGTTGAATGTTATTTTTTTCTCTTCTGGAAAACGTATTGCATTTAGAATTAGTAAATTTTGTTTGGCACCGGTGGAAGTTCTATAGCATCATTACCGTAGCAGGCCTTCACACTCTTTATCACTCATGTCTGTTACCGAACATTAAACAACAACAAGAAAACGAAAATACCTTGAATGAGTTGTCACCTTTTTCTACGTAAAAATGAAAGTTCACTCCATCAATACTGTATTGCAACCTGTACTTGGTTACCCACTGCTGAAATCGGGGTGCATTCCTCCCCTGAGTCGCGACACCGGTCACAATGGTATAGCTGCCAAGATCCACTTGAAGCCACTGTTTGAGATCCAGTACACGAGTTGACCAGGCTCCTATCTTTGCTCCAGTCAACTTCCAATTCAGCCTGGCCCTTGATGGGGCATGATTGGCATCCCACTGTGTAGAAGCGGTTAGTTGTGCATCTTTGATTGCTCCACTTTCCATTCCAAGAGGTGTGCTGCACACTGAAATAAGTAAACATAAATTAATTGATAACGACGTCATTCGGCTCGTCAAGAGCTTGGAAAAGAGAAAAAGTCTGGGTTTTCTTCGAAGAATCGAGTTCCAGAACTTCGCATACATAAGAAGAGACTATAATCAAGATTTATATATATATATATATATATATATATATATATAAATGTGGGGGTAGAGTCTACCTTGGCATAAAGTGCCAAGGTAGTCTCTACCCCCACATATATATATTTATATGTGCAAATATATATATATCGTTCCGATACTGTGCTACTGAGCTCTAGAGAACTATGTGGTGAGCTACGCCAATTTTTGGGTTGATATGAAACGCGTCCCGCACCGTACTAGGATCAGCAACGTTGGAAGTGTCACGAGGATGAATAGAGCGTAAAGGATGGTAAAAATAATATCTATAAATGTCAAGGAAGTGAACTGGGTAAATGTATATGCGTTGAGCGTGTTAGCTCTAATTTATTGTTATCCGACTGTAATTCCGCTTTCTTGAGCGATGTTGCATTTGTATCTGCATACATTTTTGTTATTTATCCTCTTACGTAAAAACTAATTCTTTATTCGCCGGTATACTTTCAAATCAAAGGCTCGAGGAACTACCTCATGGTATGTTTAATTACTCATTTGTGTGGTGAGAACTGTAAATCTTTGCCATCTTCTCCCAATAGCGCGTGCTGCACCCTTAAATGACCAATTTAGAAGCGTTAACCAGAGCACCAAAACTTGGAGCCAAAAGTAAACCAAGACGACAATCAATTAAAAATCACATAAATTGACGGCCAAACAGTGAAAAAAAGAATATGAAAGCGATCTTGGCAGTAATGAACAATAATTAAGCAGAAGTATTCATATAAATTTCTTAATTAAACCGCAGTTCACACATATGATTTTCATATATTCACAGTCAGTGACAAAACTATTTGTAAACGATGGCAAATTCAACCTGTGCGCAGGCAAGATTTATGCCCTAGTAACAAAGCAGCTCACAAGGTGAATGATCAAATTACATGAAATCAATAAAATCTCAAAACATGATAAATAAGTGTAAAATATAGCCGGAACAGATACGCAAAATCAACTTGAAGAAAGAATAAAATCGACTATAAAGGTAAAATAAATGAAATCATAACCTTAAAACAGCAAAATATGGTTAACAGATACGCGGAAATCAATTTGAAGACAAGAATTATAATTGCTCATGCGGTGCGACCAAATGAAGACAGAAAGCGAAATGAAAGAAAAATTAGCCCGATCACTTCAGCCATTTTGAACTTTGTTGATAACTACGTGTACTCAGGCGAAAATTTGCCCCAAGTGTCAACCCCTAGGTATTTGAACAGAAGACAATAGCATAATATTGGGGACAAATGTAAGCTTAATACGGGGAGGCAGGAGATGATTGTCTAACAGATCAGAGAATAGGGTGAGTGAGTTAGTGAATGAGTGAATTTTCCTTCCATACTAAAACCTTACAGTACGACTAACATCATAACATGAGGCAAAAAAGGCCTGTAAAAAGGCACCCCTATTTGATTTTTTATTGGCATCATTTGTTACAATTAAAACGTTACCTGTACAACCGTAGATCTCTATTCTCATCGCTATGTTTTTATACCACGCTTTGGGTGAGATCCTTATGTATCGTGCTGTGATTGGAGGTTTAAGAATGTTGAAAACAGCAGTTTCACTATCACCATTTCCGGGAAATATCTTAGCGAGAAAAACACGGAAAGCATCAAGGAAAAGTTATTCATAAGGCTTGCGGATGATCAACAATGAAAGAAAAGAGTTCTGCGTCTGCCTTTTGTTATATATTTGAATGACACACTTTAGTGGAGGTTTGTACAGCTTAGGAAAATACTCGATCATTAGAGAGATTCTTTATCTGGAAACCATCCCTTGAGATCTAAAGTGTGTTAATGGTCTTTTCTCTCATTGGGTCAGAAAGCCACTTTCCTTTGCTCGATACAAATTCGTTGGATCGCAACGATAGCAAGAAAATTAACGCCGCTTGAGTTGTTATGTATTTATTTTTTGTCGCAAGACTGCTTTTAGCCAGATTGCATGTGCAAATAAACATTGATGGAGTTATAAAATCTCTTAAATTTATTTCTGGAGTATTTTAACCATGCCAATAATTCTCAAGGTAGCTCTGCATTGAATTAGTTGGCGCTGCATACCTTTGGGTTGCCACCACCAATTTCCATGTAAGACTTGAAAGTGATTTCGTCAATACTGTACTGTAACTGAAAGGAAGTCACCCACTGCTCATACCCATCCCTCCCTTGAGTTGCCACTCGCGTAACTCGAGTGTAACTACCAAGATCCACCTGAAGCCATTGATTAGGATCATTTGAAAGAGGACGCCAACCGCCCTGTTTTATTCCACTTAACTTGGTATTCAGTCTGGCGCGTTGTGGTGCATGATTATCATCCAGTTGTGATGATGCACTGATTTGGCCATCGGAGATCAGTCTACTCTCCATACCAGCGGGTGCAATGCAAGCTAAAGGAGAAAACAACAATTGATCATCCTAACTTGGTTTACTCGGTGAAGTTCCCAGTCTTAGTACATGATTTGTAATTTGGTGTTTTTTGTCGAGTCATACATTTCGACAAAATCTTTCCTTTCTTTCCTTTCTTTCCCTTCCATTCTCCTACACTAAGATTTTGGTTTTAATTCATTTGTATGTACGTGCATAAGCTTCTTTGTATATGTACCAAAGTTGCGATTGGTTTGGGAAATTTAAGGAACTTATTTGTTCCTTCATTTTCAAGTGGAAAAAGTCAAACAGTTGTCATGTTTATGTAGCGTCCTATGAATTATTTTGTCAATGGCTCAAATAAGACCTCTTTTTGGATCCGAAAAACGTCTGATCGTGTCATGGTTAAATTCGTTCAATTCAGTCAATATGCTTAATCAAAGAACGTAATTGACAACTTTTCCACTAAGCTTCAGAAGTAGTATGTTTTAGACACAGTACACGAGTTGTAAATATGTAGTATGTAAGTAGTTCCATTACCGGATGATCTTTGGTCGACATTTAGTCCGAGGAGCGGTGAACAACAAAAAGCCGCGACAGATTTGAGTCAACCCTAATAGTGACCTTTTCACTATCAAGTAATTTTGCTTTATATCAATGTCCAGTGTAAAAACGATAAGAAGAGGCCAAATATCAACTAAGGGATATTGTTAGATCTCACCACCAGATTCTCAGAATCACATGACATGGCATATAGGTTATTGAGAAAAGGTTGACGGCTACAAACGCTAACAATAAGTTATACAATCAGTAAAATTGGGAAAATATTTCAGCTATACTGCCTCCTGCTTCACTAAAGAAGTGCGTCTCGATGAAAAAAAAAATAATAATAATAAAAAAACCACGAAGACAACCAGACAAGAAAATATTTTAAAAGCCACGAATAATTTTCGATTACCTGTGCAGCCAAAGAGCTCTATCCTCATGGAGATATGCTTGTTCCACTGTGTTGGGATTATGCGGACATAACGCGCTTTGAGTGACGGACGAAGTGTATTATACACAACCTCGTTACTATCTTGGTTTCCCTTAAACTCCTGAAAATCGTCATAAATGTTAAAGTCAAATTAAGATCTAATTTGAAGTTTGAATTGTGACGACTTACTCTATTGTCTGTTCGTTCATTTGTCTTTTTTTGTCTTTTTTTTTGCCGGCTTTACTTTCAGAATTGCACTTGAAATAACAGGTGACAATGAATAACGAGAGAAATAAATAAATCATTTTGCAGTGGTACATTAACAGAGTACTTCCGTGGTCTCTTTCTGGTGGTTATGTCTAGTTCATACTGAGTGCAAAGATCAAATTACAGTATTTGCAGATGTATATTTTCATTTATGAAAACAATTATGTCTATTAGAAGTTAGCTCAGTTGATAAAATTCCCTAAATGAGGATAAACCATACCGTGACCGAAGTGTCTCCAGTTTTTTGATAGAACTTGTACATCACTCCATTATCACTATACTGCAACTTGTATCTAGTCACCCATTCATCAACTTCGTTCGCCCCCTGAGTCGCCACTTCTGTCACATGAGTGTAACTACCAAAATCTACCTGAAGCCATTGGTTGGCATCGCTTGTAAGAGCCGACCAACCCCCTGCGTTGTTTCCCACGGTCTGAAAATGCAACCTGCCCTGTACTGCGGAGTGTTTTCCATCCAACTGCGAGGAAGCAGTGATTTGCGCATCAGATATCCACCTACTTTCCATTCCAAGAGGGATAGTGCATTCTGTAATGAATGAATTTTGAAATACTAGAAGCTTCTCATCAATATGCAACTACAATCTAGCTTCCAAGTGTCTTTCACGGTTTGATACTTTGCAAAAATGCGTCCCAGCTCAACTCAAAATTTTCAAACTTAGGCGCAATTTGAGAAAAAAGGCAATTCATATCTTCATATGTCTTCTGCAGCTGCAAAAATGTCTGTTTAATTACTGATTCGATAGCATGGCTTTAGTCTATAATCAAAGATTTGTGATATGTGAAACAATTTGAAACAATTCTGATATAAAATTTTTAACAGAGTCTATTCCTGTTAAGCCTCAAACTTGCTGAGAGCTCCCCTCCTCCCCCATAAGGTATATAAATTCCCAACAACATTCCCTGAATAAAATAATATTTTGACAATACCTGGGCAACCATAGATCTCGGTTCGCATTCCAATTCGATAGTTCCAGGATAAAGGTTTGAATCGAATGTAACGAGCTGTAATTGGTTGCCTCAACTTGTTTGACACAACTGAGTGGAAGTTTTGATTTCCACTGAGCACCTGTGAAATGATCATGAAGCATGACATAACTTATTGTCGACTTTTGCACTTCTTTAGACTATTATTACAAATAGGACTTAATTCTTACTGAGTTTAGTAGAAGAAGAATAGAAAGAACAGAGAAAACGTGCTCTCCCTTTATTGACCCGAAGCATGCACCCATAACTGCTGTAACGACTGCGTGAGTGACTACGAAATAAAAAGTTTTCTACATGGCATGACGCCAAAGGAGTTAACATAGTGATTACCTTCTCTCTGGAAACCCAGCTTAGACCGCAGTAATCATATAACCTTAAAAAAGTATTTTTAAAGGTGAGTCATGAGCATTTTCAAATTCAATCCAGTGTTACTTTCGGTGTATACCTTTGGTAGAGTTTCTCCGAGTCCCTTGTAAAAATGAAAGGTTATTCCATCGTCGCTGTATTGCAGGTTGTAACTGGCTGTCCAACATTTTTCCCGCGATTTTAGGTTCACTCCTTGAGTTGCAACACTTGTTACGCTTGTGTAAGTTCCAAGATCCACCTGAAGCCACTGTCTAGAATCGACTGCACCGGCAACCCAGCCGCCCAAGTTTAACCGAGCATATTTTGCAGAATTGTAAATATTCCATTGGGTGGAGGCAGTGATTTGGGCATCGGAGATAACCTGACTCTCCATGCCAAGTGGTGAGGAACAACCTGAACGGGTTTAATCAGAAAGAAAACTCAAGAAAGGTGCTATAACATCCCTTTCAAAACGAGAATCTTTCCCTCTAATCTATCAGGATGAAGATAAGTCGGGTACAAGTTTTAGAAGCAACTCGTGCATGATCAAAGATCATAGGCTAAGCTCTGAAAATTATGAATAATCAGTACTCTAAACCCCTACTTCAAACACCTGCATATGTTTTTCAAAAAATATAGATTTTAAGCAAGAGTTCAAAAGTGATATTAGATACTAAGGTTCTCTGAGCTCCTTGACAGGAAAATAATTTAGAAGAAATATGAAAAGCGTTTGAACATGATTTCGAACATTTTGTTTCTTAGGAGGTTTTCTTCCTTGACCAGTTTTGTACACTATTTTCTCTTAATGCATAATTTTTTTGGCTCTTCTCCTGCTTATTTTGTCGGTTTTAATCGCACTATGTTTTGTTTGCATATTAAATTTTGCCTTCTTGGTCCAAAGGTATTCTACGCCCATCTTGGCGTTTCTAGAAAAACTAAACAATTGTGTTTCTTTTGTGACACTAAAAGTGATTTTTTTCTGACTAAAATACCATCATGTTATGAAATACCTCGACACCCATAAAGCTCCATTCTGAGTGATATATGGCTGTACCACTTGACTGGCAAAAGCCTGATATAACGAGCTGTGATTGGTGAGATCAACTTGTTGTATACAACTGTATCACTGTCTTGATTGGCGTGAAGTACCTGATAATTGAAACCAAAATTAGCTGAGCTCAAGTAGATACCTCACAAAATTTGGTAAGACTGATAAACGTAAATGAGAGTCATATGGGCCTATGCATACATCGTAATTTTAAAGGTTTATCAGATTATGACAAAATTTCACGGATTCGTAATGATGCCAACATTTTGTTAAACAAAAATAGAGTTTAACTTCCAAAACGAATTTTCCTGTCGTTTCTTTGGATTTTGTCAAAGTTAGACGAGTCAAACCCAGTCACAATGCTGTTGATCTCAACATTTTCAGGTATGTTAACTGATCAATGCAATGCTAAAAAAGCTAGAAAACGTTACTCTAAAAAGTTATGGTACATGTAGGTAAGTTTCAGGGGAATCTTTTCTTTTTCGTGACCTTTTGAAGAGAGGGTTGTAAGGAAAATCCATTCAGAGAATGAATTTATAGAATGATAATTCAAAGACACTTTACTTTTGCTGACATTTTCCCTGGTTCTTTGTATGACTGGAAGATCACACCGCCAAAACTAAACTGTAACGTGAAAGTTTTTATCCACTGCCGCCATTTTGTTGAGTTCCTCCCCTGAGTCGCCACACCTGACACAGTGGTGTGACTGCCAAGATCCACCTGAAGCCATTGGTTACGATCACTTTTAAGAGACGACCACCCCCCTTGCTTGATTCCCCGTTCAATGAAGTTCAGTCTCGCCTGTCTTGGTGTGCTGTTGTTGTTCATTCGCGAAGAAGCAGTTATCTGGGCATCAGAAATCGCGCCACCCTCCATTCCAAGGGCTCCTGCCAATTAAACAAACGAAATGTTCGAGTGTATCAACATTTTGTCTTCGGGGATCTTCTTAAGATACATCTCAAACTCTGAAATTGTGCTAAGTAATTTTGTAATACTGTCAATCAACAAAGTCTTACCAGAACACTTAACGGCGCTATAAGAGGCTTGGAACCCATAGAAAGAACCATTCTTATCTGATCTGAATATTACAAGGAGGCTATTTGACGTAGAATAAATTCCATTCCTGGGGGGAGGCTGACCTCCATAGAACACTCCTAATACCTTCCCTGTTTGGTCATTGCCATCGTACACATAAACAGCGTCCGTGTTGTTCTCAGGTTGTAGACTGAAGCGTGTAAACATTAAGGCCACTTGAAAAGATGCTTTCACCATGATCCTCCACATGCAGTATTGCCCATCTGGGTACATTTCTGGATAGTTGGGTGAGTAAATGACGGCTTTTTGTCCCTGCAAAGTTTGGTTTTGACATTTATAGCCTCCTGCGAGTAAGAAAAAGTTGGTTGGGGTTATTTTCATCGAGCTCGAGGGCACAAAAAAACTGTCACAATTTTCAGCAACTGCATGTAGTTATGTCCATTCTCGCAGCCTAGGAATCTCGTTCCCTCTCACCTTTTCGCTCTACTCTCAATCAATGCTCACTCCGACTGAGTACGAGAGCTGAATTTAACTAACAAGCACGCCTTTTTCGGAATACCGGTCGATCAAGTTAGAGACCCAGGCCAAAGATCAAGCTCTATTCACTGATTTGCGTACATCGTTAACTTGCAGCAACATAGAAGAACGAAGAGATTTTAGAGATTTACCTTTTGGTCAAAGGCATCTACGTCATAAGTGCAACAGATTATACTGACTTGACTTACTTGATGAAAGGGGAATTTTCAGAGTTATTTGACTAGGCCCAAAAAGTCTCGTTTTCCCCTGTGGTATCTTTTGTTGTGTCATCCCGGCTGGTTGTCCTATGCCCGCGTAACCAGCAAATGCAAAAGAATACCAACGGCTTCCAAGAACAGAATTACGAGCCCCCAGTCTTTTGAAAGCACTAACCGCTGATGATGCATATTTCGAACCTTCTTGAACACCGACCAAAACGATTTTGCTAACGGAAAAAAGATTTTTTTAAAAAAAAGCAAAGCAATGACGAAAAAGAGTAGTTTTAGATTAGGTATTAGTTTTGACGTCATCTGTGTTCTATCACTGAGCACACGCACTGCAACATCGAATCTTTTGTTAACCCTTTAACTCCCAGAGGTGATTAACAAGTATCTTCCCCCGACAATATCCATACACTATGCAGCAAATAGGTAATGAGAATACTCAAATGTATTAGGTAGAAGTTGTTATCTTGATCTAACACCAAATTCTCGTAACTTATTTGTATAAGTAATCACATGATTTCGAGTGCAATTTGGAATAAATAAGCACGAGTAAATTTTTTCAAAGACTAACAAAATTGAACGAGCCCGTAGGGCGAGTGCAATTTGTGGTCTTTGAAAAAATTAACAAGTGCTTGTTTATTCCAAATTGCACGAGAAAAAATCATGTGATTACGTATAAATAATATAGATGGAAAAATACGAGATGGCTAACCAAAATTAAGCACAAGCAAAGCGCGCGCATCAAGTGCAAAAATAATTTATTCAAACCGTGCGTTCGGTCAAAACAACCGCGTATGATCAAAACAATAATATGCAAAGATATCTTCATATCTTCAAGGCGCAAAAAAGTTCAAAGTCCGGCTAAACAGTTCAAGGAATTGTTCAGTCAGTGTCCGAATCACTTTCAATAAAAGGGAGTCGTCGTTTCCCAGGTTTAACCATGTTTGTTTTTAATTTCGGCGTTGGATCACTCGAGCAAAGTGCTGAGCTGGGTCGACTCGTTATTTTTGATTTCCTTGGCAATTTCCTTCTCTAAACACCACTTTTTCCAAACTGACAACCAAAAAGCAGTACTTTTTACAATGTTTCGTTATTTGAGCTGTTTTTCAGCTGCGGTGGCGAAAGAAAACCTACTTAAAACGCCGGCCATTGTTTCGCTCGCAAATTTTCAAATTTTTGTTGCGACATCCAAGGCTCGCATTTGATTGGCTATCTATGAGTTTCTTTGATTACTGACCAATCAGAATGTCTGATTTGTTACTTTCTTTGCACTGAATTAACCTTCTTCTGTACTGAATTAACTCTCTTTTGCACTGAATTACCTGAAAACTGCATTTATCTTAACCAATCAGAACTATGTATATTATTAACAGGGAAATGTATAGCAACTAGAGGGGAGAATTAACAGTCAAATCTTGGGAGTTAAGAGTAAATAGTAAGGTATCATTTCAAAGGTATGATTGGCTAAGGCTAAAATGATAAAACTACATCTAAACATCTGAAATTAAATCACTTACTTTCCTTTAATGTTGTTGAGGTAGTCCCTTAGGTTGTTACCGGCAAATGTATTCCCGTATGTGTCGAACACTTTTGAATCAAGAATGACACCTGAGTGATAAGAAAAATAAAAAGATAAAAACATATGCCTAGTTTGAGGACCGGCAATTGTACACGAATCGAATCTTTTATAATGCTGATTTCTTAAATTACACTGGAATATTGTTTGTCTTGGGCTCAATGAATTTTGAGCACATGAGAAAACGCTCTCGTGGTCTCTTTAGATCGAATAATGCCCTAGACGTCTTCTCGTGGATTATTCGACAATATTCACTCTTTGACGTATAATTCTTCCAAGAAATAATGAAACTTCCTGAGAAACTCCAAAGGGCCACTTAGATTGTGCCTGAGCCAAGAGGAGCTCTTTGCTTGTCACCATAATCGAGCTTTCCGTTATGATAAATAAGAATTTAGAAGTAAAATATTAACCGTGGTTCACACACCTGTTGCACCGTCCACAACAACAACATTATGTCCTCTGCTGTGACGAGAATAATCTTCGCCGTTCACCTTGATGTAAGCAATTCCATATGTGCTCGGTGTCTTTGACCAACTATGATAAATTTCACTCCTAATGTAAACATCTACAGCAGGAGCCGTAACAGATGCTGCAACAAACCGAACAGTCCATTTAGTCACAACCACCAATCAAAATAAAGGAAAATATCATAATAAGAACTCAGAGTAGACTTCCCGTTGCACGGGAAAAACGCGATTGACGATGACGCGGTTGGTTTTTATCTTTCTACGATCTGATTGGTTGAGAGCGTGAGGTTCGAGCATTTAACAATGATACACAAACCAAAGCAATTTTGGATTGCTTTCGACGTTCAAATAAAAATGGCTTCATTACATGAAGCAACGATGGCAAATAGCGACAAATGACCATTACATCACCTCTTCATGTAATGACGCACGTCCTCAATTTCAAATCATAAATGTTGGCGATTTTTCCCTTCTATCAGATTACATATCGGTAAACTGTGATTGAAAATTGCCTGATACGGAGAAATGTTTTGACCCTAAACAAAGAAAGGGCTTTTTTTTAGTGCTGACACATCTTGCCATGAGTTTGCCAAAAGCAAACATTGATGCAGTGTGGAAGCTGTTGTCAAACTCTGCTTTAGTGCAAAGCAACATGATAACGAGCGATTGTGCTCCAAGACTGAGAACAAATGAACAAACATAGCAAAATTAATCTAGACACACGGACACCATGAATTGACTCAAAAGATAGCCCGCTTCCTCTTATCCCTTCCACTTCTTCTCGCTCCTTTCAAAACTAGTTGAAAATGATGTGGTGGGGTTACTTGAGTGATAAGATTGATTGCGTTATGTGGATGGATAATTGATCTACGCTTTTACACAAGACGTAACATGAAAATCCATGGATGTGTTTGGAATTGGCCAGAAGCCAGCGTTGTTCAGATTCCGTTGTATAAACGTGATCAAGAACAATGCCTGCGCCTAGCCTTCAGATCTAGGTTCCTCTTTCCGTTAAAGTCTATCACAGAATAGTTAATTCCCTTTTCGGGTATGACTTGAACTCTTTTGCACAGAAAAGAATGAGAGAGCTACAGAGGTATCTGAGAGAGATTTTGATGTTACACAATTTGTCAAGGAGCAATAAAAAATCTTCCACCAAGTTTGTTTTAGAACTGCAATCGAAACACTTCTTACATTCCATCTGTTCTCTGAATCCTAAGGAAGGGTGATGAAATTTAGTTCTTGAAGAATCAGTTGCAAGATTAAGGGATTATTTCGTATGTTATAAACAACATTATATTGGAAAGGTATTTGATTCATAGTGTTCATTGACCCTGCTAAATCCTCACCTGACGATGAGAAACTGTTGAGTAGAGTAATCAGGGCTAAAGTTGTCCACATCGACATCCTGAATTCCTCATTGAAGATGTTACCTGACATACGATCCGTAAAAAAATGAAATGCTTTTGCCCAAATCAGCTTTTTCTAAAATTAATTTGTCATCACCCGTGGTCCAATCGTAATGCATGCTCGAGACAGATGTCAAATGGTCAATCTTGCGTGTTTGTATTTTTCTCAGGCAGTTTCGGTAATATCTTCAGTTTCTAATAAGAACGTGTTCGCAATTCATAACTGTAAAGGCCCACAGGCGCATTCAAGTTTAAAACTAAGGTCGAAATTGAATGTTATTATTCACTGGGAGGAAAGTATTCCATCCTCAATTTGTCAGACCCATGAAATGACGTTATAGGGCGAAACGAATGGCTGTGACATTTAATCAACACGATACACGGTAAGGATATCCCCCTGATTATGGAAGTTCTGGTGTTTCATCAAGATATCTATGTCATAAAAATAAATATCATATGACGCGAGCTGAACCGATATCGATGCTTGTAGCCGACCACGTTTAGGATTGCTCTGCGTTTCGTTTTCAACTTAAAAGTAAATAGAAAGTTTTTGTTTTCAATATGACGTGTTGCTATTTGTTTTTGAAATGTTCGAAGTGCTCGACTTTAGCATACGAAACATGCTGCCTGCTTCACAACTGGAACTATTTCATTGATGAAAAATTTGAAGCACGTGGGGTGGGGAGGAGGTATTTCCCCATATATTTCCCACAGGTATGTTATAGTGCGTAGCTTTTAAGCCATTTCATTTTGACGGCACGTAAGCATGTTGACCAGAAGGGTCTTTCACTGAACGCGATTTCCAAGGCAACCACGAGAGCTATATTAAAAACTTATCAGACGAAGATGAACACTGTTGTGATTTGTCAGTACCTCTCTCTACGAGTACTCCTTGGTTTATAAAGGTACCCCCCTCCCAAGAACACAACCTGATCTCTCACGCCAATTATTGGAATAGCCACGCGTAAAAAATTAAAATAACAAGACCTTGGGAACAGCTGAAGGTTAAGTTAGGGCCATGGCGCGTGCCACAGGTCTTTCGCCCGTTGTGTTTGACGTATGATGCAAACTTTCGATACATTTATCTACGACAAAGTGAACTAGAAGCAAATGCACTTTCCTTCTGATCGCCGTCCGCGACTAGAAACGTCTGTCCCTGATTCCTGATTGTTACCTCGCACCCGTGGAGAAGGCGCACTCCACAAGCTATTTTGCTTCGCTTCTGATCTACAGCACATCTTCACGTTCAGTCGCTGACTAGTAATTGTGTGAAAGAGTCATCGTGTGCTTAAGATCAGGAAAGTTTATTAATGAGTATATTATTTTTTTTTATTTTCTGACGCCACGGTATTGCGATTTTAATGCTAATTAACTCACAGCATCGAATCAGAGATCTAACTGTCCATCAAGTCAAACATGTTGATGCGGATATGCTCTGAGCGTAGAAAGGCGTCGTTCTGACTGCGTCCCAGTCTCTCTGTTTTAGTCCAACATCAGCGCTGATATTAATATCATCCGCAAACTAAGGTAACGCAGGCGTTTATGAAACTAATTTGCACGAGTGCTGATTTCTATTTCGCCGTCGTGCAAATTAAGCAAAGATTCAGTTGTTGTAAAGTTACGCATTCATGCTAAATTACAGAAAAGTTTCGAGCAGAGGCAATCTTTGAGTTTTATAAAAAATACGAGTTCTATAACTCTTTAACTCTATACAAAGGCGCATATCGTGTTGTTTAAAAAATATTTATTTACAACCAAGAGGCCAAATATGTCATCTAATATATCTCTATTTCTGAATGACGAAAGTTCGTATAAATATTACGCTCAAAGACTTTCTTTCAAATGACAAAAGCCACAACAGGTATAAACAAATTTCTGCAGAAATTCATCTCAGCCTGAAAAGAAAAAATGAAAACAACATATGGGTATTTCTACTGCTAATTTTAAATAAATACTCTTTAACGTTCTAATCGGTCATCAAACTAAAACACCGAATAGATCATTGAAATCACTACGTTGGTGACAATGTATGGAAATAACACAAAAATTACTTTCAGTGGCATTTGAAAAATTTTCAATTGAGCGCCGAAAGTAACCCAAAATTGCATTGGTTTTGCTTAACTTTGCCCTGAGACTGTCCCACTCCGCCTCTGTGTTTAGTATAAGTTGGAAAATAAAAAAAAACAACAACAATCAAACCTACAGAATCACACAGAAGTCATACAGGCGAATCCGAAAAAAAGAAACATGCAAGGTATTGAATAATTTTCCTTTCATTTTTCACACTAATTCTTAGGATCTGGATTAATTCAATCACCAGGTCCTAATTATCAACTTGTTTTTGTTCCATATGTGGAATAGGTTTCTATGTATTCCTATTTAACTTACAGGGAAAGAACGTCTTCTCTTCTTTTCATGACTTCTGAACGGAACTTAGCAAGTGTGAGCCAGTCTTGGTTTAAACTTTCCCACTCGGCTTCTGAGTCTAAACATAAAAATATTAAAAAAATACATACATTGTATTATTTCCCCAATAAACATAATGTTGAGTGTGAAAACTTACAGCACCTAAAGTAAGAAGGTTGTTTATTACCCATGGTATCCATTTAAGTGGCACAAACCTCAAACGGAGAAAGGAGACACACTGATATTTCAGCGGTAAAAACAGCCTACAAGATCCTTCCTTTAAGAATTTCAAGTATGAAAGGGCTCAATATGTGGAGGTATTGGAGAGTGAAATTCAAAGGCAATTCATTTTATTGCACTATAGTTGTGCAATGGGTCAGCTGTAATCAAGATATTACTAACCTTCTAACGACTCCACTAGCTGCAACTCACGCTCTATTTTGGAACAGACTTCAAAGATGATAATTCAGCTTGGAGTAGTTTCAGTTCTTCTTCAATATAACTGGCTGAATCTGTGAGCAAGGCAAGTGGGTAAAAGACGGCGGTAAATGCGTCATCAACGTAGCGTAACCAAAGCGGTATGGTTTGTCGGCAAGTTACAAGGGCGCGTTCCTCGATGTTTTGCATCACAATTTCTGCGACAACAACGGAGACCGGCGACCCCATAGCTGTTCCGTGCAACTGCTTGTAGTGTTTCCCGTTGTACTGAAAGTAAGTCGATGTAAGGCAGAGGTTAAGTAGGTCCATAATGTCTTCTGTCGGTAATGGTAGTGCATCAGTAGACTGTTGGATGGCGGTTTAAGCAGTCAACCAACATCTCTAAAGTGGTTATCTTGTCATTCCGCAAGGGTGATGGCTTAACACAGGTTCAACTTTAATCTAAGCATGCAATACTTAATTAAATGGCTAAATAATGATACTTTTGGCTACAACAACATAATGTGTTATTTTGCTTTCTTTCAATTGCATTTCTTCTTTGTTAACACTTTATACCCTAACATCAATATGCATGTTCTCCATGTTGTTCTCTATAAATTTATTTAAGTGCTGGCAAGGAGAATTTGTATAACAATCGAGAACTTCTTTAGTTGGTGATCATTTCCTTTATTCTCATGACCTTAATATGTGCTAGTCGCTCTCAGGGGTCACAGGGTTAAACTCACCCTGGAGATGGTCAGCCTACTTTCCACTGGATCTGGCTCGGGCAAAACGTGGTCACCATGGAAAATATCATTTGCACTTCCAAACCAAGCTGTAGTCTGAAAGCAAAAGAAGCAAAACAAAGTCGTCATTAACTACCTTTGCGCTGTATTTTGCCTTCTTTTTCTAGCCTTTTCTTCCAAAAAAATCGCAAGTTTGTGAGGGTGCCTAATTGTAACAACGACTAAGATTAGCAAAGTAATTAATGGTGAAAAGTTGAACTTGATGAATACGAGGTTTCTTTGGTGAAACTTAAAGTGCAGCTTATGAAACATTCATCAGATAATTTCGAACCGGGTAAGACTCCAACATGGATTTCTGCAAAGCACTTCACGATAAGGACGCACTTACATATCCTGTTGTTCAGGAAGACAGTAGTTATCACGGACCGCTGAGCGACCGCCATAACTGCTGTAGTACTCTTCTAAAAGACTGGTTACGAGCAACACTAACTCGTCCCTCCCCGTCACTGTCAATTAATTGTTGATATTTATCATTGTCACCCTCAGCCCAGTCTTGCAAGTTTACGAGGTAAACTATCTTCCATTTGATAAACGAACGTTTGTGTTCCGGCCTCCCCTCCTCCCGAAAAATGTTGAAATTTGAAATTATCGAGATAGCTTTTTTTCTCCTTACTCTGAGCAAAAATCTGTTCGTTTAAAAAACAACAACAATTTAGAACCCACATATTTCTTCTGTGCTGATATCGGCTTTCTTGACACTCTGACTTTCTTAATCTTTTACTAATCAAGTGAACCAGATAACAAAGTCTCCAGCGCAACACTGAAAAGCTGCGTTTCTCGTGCAGAGGTGCTGTCATTATATTTAACTGCACTGACAGCTACGTCTTTATAAAAGTTGTTTTCTCGTCCTAAGATTAAGATCATGGCAATGGGAAAGCTGGCGCCAAGTATATCACCAATTACATATAGCTAATAAGAAGGCGAAGTTTAGTAAGAATCATCTCTTTAATTCCATGTCAAATTTGTGCCATACAAAAGCTTTTGCGTTAAATGTATCCGTATTGTCTCCATATCATTGTTACAAAATAATTTTAAAAAACGGGTAATGTAACATAACCGTGCGCTATGTGCTCGATGAAGTTTATGAAGGGAGTATAATGTGGGTGTTACACTGTCGCCAAGAACCTTCTCTTCAAGATGTATTGTAATTCCTACCCTAGCTTGCCAATAATTCCGTTTGAAAAAAGAAAAAGCGTTGTAACATTAGCGGTAAAATGTGCTTTTTGTATTTTTTACGCAACATAATATAACAGTGTAAGATTTAGAGTAAGTAGTGTCCATTAGTAATGTAAGGTACCACAAAAAGACAAATATTTTAAGTAACGCAACGTAATAAGTAACATCATAAGTAACGCAACTTAACCAGTTGTTGGTAACGCAACATATTCATTGATATAAATAACGTATCGTCATTGATAGTCTTGTAAGTAAGGAAGCATAATTATTGGAAAAGCTCTGAGTATTGTTTCGTAGATTGCACTTGTATTGTATTGTCCGCTTTCTAAATATGGTTTTGCAATTAGAATATATAAAAAAAGGTAATACAAAAAATTAAGTTCCTGGAACCCTGATCAAATGAAAAAATAACGTCCAATAACCATCTACACATCCACGTTCTTCAAACCCGGTTGGTTGGCAGTAGCACGTGTCAGTCCCGTGACTTCGTGTGTCGGAAGAACTACACATTTTCTAACTGCATTGTGGGAAATTCCACGCCGATGGCGAGAATGAAAGCTGCTGCGTACGACATGGCTACCACATCAACATAATAAAATGCCTGAAAATAAAAAGTTTGCGATTAGCTGACACTTCAAGCTATTTTGGACGAGATTTTTATTGAGTTTTCGTTTCAAATCTTGTACGTTTTTAACCAAAAGAAACGCATAAAGTGAATGGTATTCGTTTCAGTTAGAAACGACTTGAATGGTGGCTCTCAAGAAGTCTTTTCTTATCGTTAGCTGTCGGGCCCTGACCGTTCTTTTACTGAAACACATTACAGAATCTCTACTTGAGAGCCGTTGACCAAAAAAAATCCCTACCACCTCGTAAGAAGCGAGCTGAGAGAAGAAAGGTGGTCTGTGAAAGAGCGGCGCTCATATTATAAAGTGGTTATTGAACGAGTTATGTCCGGGCAGACGGGAAAACATTTGGCTCGAGGTCAAGATGTGCGGACCTAGCGCCATCAGCAAAATGTTTCCTCGTTCGGCCCAACATTACTCGGACAATATGTTCCCACTTTAAGAGGCCCCCATTTTGGACACCTGGGAATAATATCATTTCAAGGTCTCATTCTGATATAAGGCATGCAGTTGAACACGACTTACGAGATTTTTATCGCTGTACTCCGTGGTGTGTTGTAAAGACCCAAAATAGACGATGAGAACGATTGCATGAAGAAGGTACGCACCGTAAGTCAAACGGCTTAGGGGAATCCAGTAGGATGCTGACAGAAACTTGTTCACCAAACCTTCATATGAGATTTAAATAATCAAATCAGTCAGTCCGTCCCCCCGTTCGTCAGTTGATCATTTAGTCAGTCAGTCAACTACAACTCAATCTGTGTTTTATCCGACGGAAAACGCTTTGAGAAAAACAACTTTAATTCTCTATTTGTTTGAATAATAGAAACCACTTATATTTGTCTCTGAGTTTCATCTTTATCGTATTTCTTTAGGTGGTATGGCCATGACTTGGTGTAGATAACGTAAACGATATTAACTGACATTTACAGATACAAATTATTAATAGAATGAATTAAGAATATATATCCCTGTCAATGCTAAAACTCGCGAGTTTGCTCTACCAATTGTTTCTCAGTAACGTGACTTCCTTCTGATTCTCTTGACTCGTTTACTCATTTCTAGACCTTCAATATATTCTCAAATTTATTTGATTATTGCTAAAGTGACTTAAACAGCGCTGCATTTTTGATGATTGGAAATCATGTGAGACACTTACTTCCATAACCCTTGTTACACGCATAGATAACCCAAGCGAGGGCCAGACCCCAAACAAAGTGTCTGAAGGTGCCATAAATGATATTCTCAGCCTTGTTGAAAGGCCGGCCGTCTTCTTTGTAAGATGTATACACACCGTATACAGCTGAAACAACCAGTGCAATACCGAGAAACCAACTAACAAGGCATTCTACCTGTCTTGGAATCTTGCTCTGAAAGACATGACAAAACAACATGAGATAATTTGAAAGCAGCAGTTAAGTTCTTTTCTCATTTTTAGGAGATTTTAGAGTCGAAACTAACCGGGACTGCTTAAGTTTTCTTTCATATCGCCGTGATTGGTCCAAAGAACTTGTGTGATTTTTTCAACCAATCAGATCCAAAATGAAAACCAACGGCGATTTAGTTACTCGTATTTTCCCACGCTTCAAGCAGTTTGCTTGTTTTTTACGTGAAGTTCTTATTGGCTCCTTCTGAAGCTCTCCTTTCTTCTGCTTGGCTATTGAGATTACTTCGGTTCTGGTTCAACGTTAGCCAATCGAAATGCGCTCTCTATGGTTCTGATAAATACATATGGGAAGTTCATTCTTCTATGAGGTTTTTTTTACAGCTAGTATGTTAAGATTGTTCTTTACACCTTTTGCGTTGTCATCTACAATGTAATTTCTTCCTCGACCCCGGCTACTTACCAACGGGTTTTTTTCCCGGATTCTTTTTTTTTTTTTATATGAATCATGTAGCCCAGGGCAATGCCCACGAGGTAAGGTGCGATCCGGTGATACGGCTTTACATAAAAAAGGTCAGTATAGCTACCTCTACCCGGCTCCCTGTTAAACCTAATAAGAATACCACAACAAATTTGTTAAACTATTTGCAACATGACTGGAGAAGTCGAACAGAACTTACAGTCACGCTGTCACGACAAGAGATGAGCTCCTTTGATAATCAAGGACGTAACACGAAGACTTGTGCGTGTGCGTGAAAGTGTGCGTGAAAGTGTGCGTGAAAGTGTGCGTGAAAGTGTGGGTAACCTCTACAGTTATATTTCTGCCTCATCACGGACGGCCAGCGAGTAAGTAAGGGCAAGACATCCGGGTATTCTGCTGCCACACGAGAACAAAGTACTTTTCATCATCAGGAAAGTAACAATTGACTGTTCATATTGTTAGTTTCAGTGAAAAGGAAAAGGTGAGAAAATCCTACAAATTGGTAAGGCAAATTACACCACGTACCGTCGATGATGAAAAACACTCGTTGAAAGAGTGGGCAATGACCAGACTATGGTGGGGTTCCAGCATGAACCATTCAAGCCCTTCAGTCATCCATTCGGTTTTTTTTTATTCTGTTCAACACTTTCCTGAATTCATTGAACATTTTTGTCCCACGAACTTCATAAATATTTGCCTGACTTCTTTCTTTTATCCAACCTTTAATTCTGTCAAACACATCAGGGTTCTAATCAAAACGCAACGAACGTAGTTCTCACGAAAGCCTGAAACTTTTCGTGTTTGTTACATGCCAGGTAGGCCAAGCAAGTCGCGTGGATAATTCTTTTGATTGTCTTTCGTAATTGAACTTTTGAGCAAAGGCTAGCATAATTATACATATCATAATTCTTGTAAGCAATAAAAACTCATGCACATATTAAAAAACATGTTTTCGGTCATGCAAGTCCTTCTTCAACATGCAAACCATGTTTGATCTGTTGATCTTTTTGTTTGCATAAAGTTACTGTCTTTGCCGAGCATTTTTTTTACAAGACACCTTGGCAACACCTTTTTCCCCATCTCTCAGCAATCTGTTTGAAACATGAGAAATTGCTATCTTTATCTAAAAAAGATAGCGAGAGTTTTTTTTTGGCATCTCGTTCTGTTTAAGCCGACATAAGGTACACGAGAAATCACAACTCACTTGTGAAACTTTTTTCAGTGACAATAGCTCAGGAACACATTAGCCTAAATTTTCTATGGTTAACTTTATCAAGGTTAAAAAAAGCTGTCTATGAAGGATGATTTTACTCTCTGGAATTAGAAGTGAGGGGTTTGTCTTCATTGAAGAAGGGGGGCATTATTGGGAGGCAAGAATATCCTATAACAACTGTTTTTCAGATGGGGAGCTCGTGCTTCTCCGCACTTCTCTCGTGTTCTTTAAAATTCCCACGTGCTTATATAACTCAACAATGCACTCGGCGCGTTTTTTATTTCTTTATTATAATTCACCCATTAATCTTTGCATGATACTACTGGCTATTTTGCATCAGTTGGTGCATATACAAGGTAATAACCCCCACCTATGTAAATGTTTGTCCTTCTATTATTTCTGTTGAAAAGAGAAAAATCCAGCAGAAAAAAGTACTGGTGTAAAAAGTCACCTTTCCATCTACCAGCCACCTGAAGGAGTTTATGACTGATTTTTAGAATTGATGTTTGTATTGCCTAGTTTCATGGAAGTACTAACTTGTGAACAAAATATGATCGGGTACTGACTCTGGACTATGGGCTTAACAGCCCCGCCACTACCAGGAGTGGCCAAGAGGGAATTTCTCCTTAAAGTTGCATTAAATTGTCAAGCAGAAAGACAACGAGAAGAAAGTAAACTATCAACTAAGAGGAAAGTGTTCGATTTGATACCACATTCTCTGGGTTTGAATTACAAGAAATGTACGGCAATTGGTGGGGAGAGTTTGATATCATAAATTGGAATTAAACTGGACAAATCATGATCGTATGCCAGCACCAAGGTCACTATGCTGTGTTTTTGTTTTAGCTAAATATCGCGGGATTTCGAAGACTCGAGTTTTTCGCCGGAAGCTTCGAAAAGTCTTCAAAGAGTCCAAACTGTGTCGTGAGAAACGTTACAAAGCTCAGTCCACTCTGTAAAACGATACCAAAGAGTTTCCTAAACTATATCACGTTTCCACAGGAATGAAACCACATGTTAACAATATGGACGACAATGAAGTAAAACGTGACCTTTGAACCTAGGTGATACTTACCATAGATTATCACGTTTGCTACATTTCTTCTAGTTGACAAAACCTACCATAGGACTTGCAGGACTAAGGTTGTTTTTCTGTTTAAGAAAGTTTATGAAACTTGTTTCTATGAATGTAGGGGGGTTTTGAACGAAGTTGATTGCTTTAGTTGCCCTACATGTTTTGAATAGTGCCAAGTGTTATGAAAATCGGTGTCATTAGCCATTGCATGTGGAAATTGGACCGACGTAAAGAAATGTCTTTGTTAACACTCATAAACTCAAAGTAAGACGATGACTGTAACTGAAACTGATCTTTTAAGAGTAAATGGCAAGTGAAAAGAGCATCGCTCCGACATCTTGAAGTTATGATAACGCCGAATAAGATCAACAGCAGAAATATTACAAACTATACCAAATTTTATCATATCATTTCGATGTCTTCATTTTTCTTTCGGGCACCCTTGCCTTTCGCTAACCGTACAACTTTTTGTGTTGTGTTGTTTTGTCTTTTGTTTCACCTCTTAATTGTTTTTGTTTTTTTTGTCTTTTGTTTGAGAAACATTGAAAGAAATGTGACCTTGTTAAAAATTTGTCACATGCTAGGAAACCCGTCAAATGTGATAATATGGGAAACAAAGAGTACACTTACATTTGCCTCGTTGTTAACATGTAGCTTCGTTTCCATGTTGGTAGTAACACTGAATAAATGTCTCGGAGACACCGGTTTGAACAGCGTAAAAGAGTTCATTTACACAGGATTTTTACTCTAAAATCACTTATTTGAATATCAAAAATGATTCATTTCGTTTGTTTGTAAAACCTTCCTTTAACAATCTCTTACTGGTGGAAAGAGCAACCTTGGATATCACCTTTGTAGCGGAAAGGAGTTTTGGATTCAAGTAACATAGATATGTTGACAAACTGATATATTTGGAAAGTAAGAAACTTTTTCGAGTGAGAGATTAGATCACTTTTATTACCAAGATAAAATGTAATTAAGTGTATTTACGGCTATGAATATACTCTCTGAAATCGTCCACAACAATTCAGACTTACGATAAAGGTATTTTTCCATAAATCATATCCATACTAGGGCAAAAAATTAAATCAAGATAAACATTTGTTGATATTCATCCAGTAGTCTAAAATAAGGGTTTATTGAATGCTTACAAGTCATATTTCTCAGTTGAACAACGAATTTTTGGTTGTGTGCTTTTCAAAACAGAGCCTTTTTGAATGGAGTGTCGAAAGTAATCAGGGATTGCTTTGGATTTGCCTCACTCCGCTTTACGATTGGTGCAAAGAACTCGCACCACTCTCTCAATCAATCAGATGCAAACCTAAAGCCAATCACGACTTAGACACCCGCGTTTTCCCGCGCTTTGGGCAATTTGCGTGGTTTTACTTTGAGTTCTCTAATCTTCTGATTGATTGTTGTGATAACTTTGGTTTTCGGTTTACGACACTCAATAGAAAAACGCTCTATGAGACAGTTATCATCTACTGCTAGAAACTTACATCGTTCAGACAGCAACAACCTAAAATTGACCATCTTTTCAGAGAAGATATTTGCACATTCAAAAACTGGCTACCTAACTCATTCTCCTCTTACTAATAAGAAAGACAGTATCTGTTACTTTCGCGTGGCGTTTTTTACTTCGACTATTATTCTGGAAAATGATTAGAATCCTCAGTGGATTTTTTAAAATTTTTTTTTTTAAATCTCTTAAAACACTAATAGGCTTAAACATATCCTTCCTGCTTAAGTTTTTTAGTTTCCGTCAGCCACCACCTCATCCCTATCAGAAGAAAAATATAACACTGTTAATGATTAAAGCATAGATATATATCTTCAAATGCAGTTCTGGAACTTCTAAGTCTTCTATGTAATAGTCTGAGAATTTTCCAGGTGAGTGTCTGAAGTAACTCGGGTTTGCCTCGGTTGCGCCGCTTTCCTAACTCACCAAATTCTCAAATTCTCGGGTAGTTCGCCTGTTTGCTTTGAGTTGTCCTGGGTTGCCTGTGATATTTCAGTCCTTTGTTCTGATTGGCCATTGTACTACTTAGTTCGCTTTTTGTTTTACCACTCTCGATCGAAATGCGCACTATTGTTACAAATGAAATTACCTATTCTTATCAATTTTGGGTCTCATCGTCGATTGTCTTTTAAGTATCAAAGTTTATGTAATCGAGTGTACAGCAAGGAGGACCAGAATAAACATTTCTACCAAAAATGCCACAATTCTCAGTATTTTTAAATTAGATATTTACCGATCATCGTATATTTTGTTCACTGCATAGTTTAATTCATTGGTTCCCCTGCAAAGCAGAAAGCAATAATGGATAGCGTACGTGAATAACCGAGATGATGACTCTTAAAAAAGCAGGTTTGCAACTCACAGAATACCAAATCAATCAGCAGCAGTATTCGTTTGAGGAGTAAAACATGATGACTAAAAAATCATCTCTTGCATATTGAGAATTATGCAGTAAGTAATCTGGACATCATAAGATGACTTAATTTTTGTGAAGACCAAAGTCATAAAAAGATCTGGAATACAACAGTTAAATTAATGGTTGATGAGTCAGTGCACTAAAATGTATTTGGTTTAGACGTTTGTCTTTACAAACAAAGAAACAAAAAAAAACTAAATGCGATTTGTACTCACGTCTGAAATGCAACTGTGTTGCTGTCCACATTCTTTTGACCTCTCCTATTTAAAAACAAGTTTATTGGTTGACATCAAAGGAAAAGAAGAAAAAGGATGGGTCATATCTTCATGATATGTTAATATCATTCGAACATCTAAGAGTATTTTACTAAATTAACCCTACCCATTTTTACGGTTCCATGATATGGAAATTTTTACATTCGTTAGACATAGTAAGTCTTCCCGTCAAGTATTTTTTTCTCACCTTTTCCAGTGAAAGAATACACCCAATGCTACGACGGCGATTAAAATGATTACCAAGGGTAACACCACAGCAGCCACGTTTACGCCTATCAAAGAATGAAAAGCATTCGTCTGTAAAACTACCGAGTGGAGGGAATTGGTTTTCCTCATATCTCAAAAAGAAAGAGCTAGTAAGAAAGATTTTTTCGTCATGCCACGAAAATAAGATAGGGAGGTATTATCAGACCTCTTCACCCTAACCTACTCGATTTTTTAGCCCACCTTAATCATCGTGAAAAATGCTATACACGGTATATTCGTGTTTCTCGAACGCATGTAATTTGTCTGCACTGAGGTGTATTTTTCCTCGAGACTGACTCGGATCAACCTTTCTGCTGGCCAAAATTCTGTAACTATGGGCTTAAAGGCGACAAAAAAAATTACTAAGTCCATTTCGACTAAATGACGGTAGGGTGATGACCCTAGATGATAAAGGAAACAGATACTAAGGTATTTAATAACATCAGAAACCTAGGCAAGCTCTTGGGCCGGTGTTGAAAAAAAAAAAAGAAGAAATTTTGGCTTTTTGGCCAAGTCAACCTTGGTCTCCATAATGACCACTCGGTAAGAGCGCTTCCTGCTTTCCTACGCTTTTATACATATAACTACACAAGGTTCAACCTTTACGATGATTCAACCTGGGTTTTTCGCCAACCAGGTGTGATGTAAAGAGGCTCATATAGTTCCAGCCGTAACTATCTATTTAACTTCGTCCAATGCCACTTTAGCTTAACCATTCGCATGCTCTTTGTGCAATCACAGTCAACTAGATCCTTTGCTGCCTTTTTCTACGTAAGTCCAACCCTTTTTTTAAAATCAGCTTAAATCAACTTAAGAAACATAACACGATGATGATTAAATTGGTAAACCCCTGAACAAGAGTAGGTGAGATAAATATGAATTATGCTGCCCAGTTTCTATAATTTCCTCTGCGGTGATTGTTGGATCGCCACAAACGACGTGTTAGGTTCTTTTAACGCGTCGGATGACGAGACAACACAACGATTAGAAAACAGTTTCAGCGGCACCTTCTTTTTTCCTGTTTCCCTGTTGCGCTCCGAGTATTCTCCCTTCTTTGTCTTTGTTAGCATCTGTCGTCATTTCTGACGGTGGTACAGTTGGTGAACCGGTAAACACTAGGAGGTCAAATAAAGTTTCAAATTCCGGTTTCTGTTTCTCCTCTAAGTAAATAAATCGAAACATGCGCAAGAACTCGCCGTAACAGCACGACGCCGGGAGAACCTAATGAAATGAAGACTAATTCGAGCAAACTTTTCTCATCGCAAAACAAATATATATGAAAGGGAGGAATAAGATGATTGTTATTATATCCTGTTTAGAATCACTGGCGATCCTCTGGTTCTCAGCAATATCGAGTATACAAGGTTCACACTATATTTTTCCTCTGATGAAAAACTAAAACAGAAAAACTAGTCTGTCAAGGCTTGCAAAGTGGGCTGCAAAAAATCAAATTGCAGAAAAAAAAAGTGATGTAAGAAATGTGAAAGAGGAACAATTAACTGTCGTGTAATGTAATTTTGGTCTAAAATCATAATCAGTGATTTTTTAATCGATCACGTGCTGTCCGCTCGTTGGATGTGAACTCCAGTCTATTCAGTTACCTTTATGAAATTGAGCGCATTTTGAAATTGATTAGCAGACGTATTAGCTATAGCACACTCTATCAGGTATCGCACCCAATGTGTCTCCATGGGCAGAAGCGGTTACTATACCTGAGCAGCCGTAGATTTCCACCCTCATCGATATATGATTGTGCCACTCAACAGGCATCAGGCGAATGTAACGTGCTGTTATTGGTGGAATGAGCACATTTTTTACAACTGTGTCACTGTCCTGATTTCCATAAAATACCTGATGTTGAGACAGTAAAGACTTAAAACGGAAGCCAAAAATGGTCAGTTTCCTGGGTAACGTTCTGGTACATAAGGCTCATAGAAGAAATCTTACGTTTTGGTATAGCATTGTATGGCCTACAGTTAACTGCTGTACATAAAATAAGCACTTAAGTCAAAATGGGTCAGGCAGCTAACCTCTCTGCTCTCTTCAGCAGTAATCATACCTTTGCTGAACTTTCTTCCGTTGCATTATAAAATTCAAAAGTCACTCCGTCACTGCTATACTGTATGCGGTATTTGGACACCCACTGGTTGTTCCCATTCATCCCCTGAGTCGCAACACCTGTAACTCGAGAGTTATCACCGATATCCACTTGAAGCCACTGATTGAAGGTATTGCTCATGGCTGACCATCCCCCTCCCTTGTTCCCGTCTGCTTTCGAATTTAACCTTGCCTCCTTTGCGCCATGATCCTCATCCATTTGGGAGGATACCCTTAGGTTGGCATCAGATATTTCTTTATTCTCCACACCAAGTGCTGCAGCACATCCTGTGTTTGAAAAAATATATATTGTTTTAAAGGTTAATATTTTGGATCGTTTTCATATAGCAACACATTCGAGTAACCTTCCAACAATAAGATTCTGCTTAGTTGGTTTAACTGCTTGGATTGCTTCATTTCATCACGTAAGGGACCATTCTGTAAAATTAATTGCGTTTTTTTGTCAAATAACCTATTTATAAAATGATTAGTTCTAATTGTTTCTTTAAAGCACCTGGACAGCCATAGATCTCTATCCTCATTGAGATATGATTGTGCCACTCCACCGGTATAAGCCGTATAAACCTTGTTGTGATTGGTGGGCTCAAAATGCTGTGAACCACTGCCTCGCTGTTTTGATTTCCAGTGAAAACCTTTAAGACAATTACAAGGAAAACTGTTGTTATCTTGCATGCGAAAAATTTCTATTCCATGTTTAAGCTAGATGACAAATTTGTCACAAAAAAAGAGTGTTCTTGATATGAATTATAATCAGTCTGATTGTGGAGCTGAGTTTATCTCATCCATTTTTGTCACAGAAAGGAAAACAATCACAATATTCGTTTCCCTAAGGTGCATGTTTTTCAAGGCTTAGCCACTAACTTCATCAGGAAGACCACCTTTTTTAACGTTGCAGACGATCAGTCTTAAAATGATTTAACATACCCTCGCTACGCTGGCATTTGATGGTTTGTACACCTGGAAGCTCTGGCCATCCTCACCGTACTCCACCCTATACTTGGTCACCCACTGATCGTGCCCATTCCTTCCTTGAGTGGCCAAACGTGTCACACGCGTGTAAGTACCAAGATCTACTTGAAGCCATTGGTTAGCATCATTTGCGAGAGATGACCAACCTCCCCCAAAGCCACCGTCCGCTTTATAATTCAACCTGGCCTGACTTGCAAGGCTTTTGTCATCCAAAATAGAGGATGTAGTTATCTTTGAGTCAGCGACATTTCCGCTTTCCATGCCAAGAGGTGTGATGCAGTCTACAAGATGCAAATCAAGAACCAGAAAGAAAATGTACTTTCCGTTGAGGGAATGGTCAGATCTAATTTAAATAGCTACCGATAAAAAACACTGACACTGGTCGAATTTAATTTTTTTTCAACCTAGAAGACACATATTACTCTGGCCGTTTTCATAATCAGGTAAAAACAAAAACTAGCTCGTGGATGGAAACGATCATGCGATTGACTTGGTTCATCTAAACCTGCATCTTTTTTATTGAGTAGCTGAACTAAGATGAATACCCTTACCACGAGCCACTTCTAAGATTTTTGTAAACCCGTTTTTCAAAATGTCCGTAGTCATGTCATTGAAGAAGATACTTTTCAACTATGAAAGACAGAAATCGTTCGAAATGATTGAATCTACCTGGGCATCCGTAAATCTCAATTCTCACTGATATGTGTTTATGCCACTCTAGCGGCAATAATCGGACGAAACGTGCTCTGATCGGCTCGCTAAGTCTTTTGATTACAACTGTGGAACTATCTTCATTTCCATCGAAAACCTTCAAAAGCAAGTTTTAATAAACAACGTAATTAACATTCAGTTTGCTTCGTTCTCTCACAATTGCCCAAAAACTTACTTATCCGCCCAACCACCTATAAAGCCACTTGCCCTCCCCCAACCAGTCATTTACAGCACACAATTGCCAAAACTGGGCTGAACGTTTTTTCATTTACATCCATAGGTATCATATTGATCATACCATCACGGTGTACGATAAACATTAATTACTGTCAGGTTATCCTGACTTCATCGTTAGAATACAGCGCTGAGGGCATACCTGTGCAGAACTGTGTTCTGCTTTCTTGTAAAATCGGAAATTTATCCCAGAATAGCTAAATTGTATTCTGTATTTTGTCACCCACTCGTCGAGTCCATCTATCCCCTGTGTTGCTACATGCGTCACAATTGCTTCACTTCCAAGGTCCACCTGTAACCATTGATAAAGATCGTTCTTACGAGCAGACCACCCCCTATTTTTGCCATCAGTGGCTGCTTGAATGTGCAACCTGGCCTGCGATGGAGCCCGATCATCATTCAGTTGTGAGGAGGCATATATTTGCGCATCAGAGATTGATTTACTTTCCATGCCGAGGGGGGATACACAGCCTGGGTAAGTCGAAAGAAACGCGCAGATGTAGTTACAGAAATGTTGAAAGTTTTTAGTATCTTTTAATCCGTAGAATTAAGTGTTGACATTTGGAATCGCTTTTAACTTATTTATTTATGCTATACCTCCCACATAGCCCTTCAAATTTAAAGCTGAGGCCATACCTTTAGGAGTTAATTAATTTTCTAAGGAAACTTTCGCACAGCGAGGACTTCCAAGTTAAATAGTTAGTTAAGAAACAACGTGAGTTGTGAAAGGAAACTTAATCACCTCAACAAACTTTGAAAAGCTAGATGGTTAAATTATGCCAATCAACGTTAAGATAATTGCAGGTCACGAATTTTCCGACGAATTTTCCGACGAATTTTTCCACGCTAGGGGCTGGTTTTCCATCTTTAAGCAGGTAATTAATACCGCTTTCGTGATTTGCAGTTGCAGATGTATTTTTTGCTTGCACAGATAGGTGTAAGACAAATACATTACCTGATAATAATAATCATGATAATGATGATTTTAATAACTATAGCGGTAGAGTTAATAATGGTGATCAGAGTGATGATAATAACTTAAACATTAAGTGTTAATGGTAATAAAATATGACAGTGATAAGAATAAAGGTAATAAAGATTAAAAACAATGAAAAATATGAGGAGAAATGGAAATTACCTGGACAGCCATAGATCTCAAGCCTCATGGATATGTGGTTGTGCCATCTCACCGGTCTAATTCGTATGAAGCGTGCTCTGATTGGTTTGCGTATTTCGTGATAAACGACGGTCTCTCTGTCACTATTTCCACGAAAGACCTATGTAAAATTATGAAGACAAGTGGAAAGTGAGCTTTTGATCAGAACATCGATAAAGGTTTCATACACTCCCAAACAATAAAGCTGTTGGTAAGACGGAATATTGCTTTCCCATTTGGGTTACTTTGTCTTATTGTCTCTTATAAATTTTAGATTTTATGTTCGCTCCAGATCCCTATTAATGTCTTAAAAATAGAAACAATGGAACTAGCTAGGTATACCTTTTCAGCTTCGAGGGGCGAAGCCTTATAAAACTGAAAAGTTACTCCATCGTCACTATACTGCAACTTATATGCTGTCACATATTGGTCATAGCGTTGTCTGCCTTGGGTCGCTATACCAGTCACTGTAGTGTATTGACCAAGATCCACCTGAAACCACTGGTTTAAGTCATTTGCACGTGATGACCAACTTCCGGAGGTTCGACCAAGTTCCTTATAATGTAACCTTCCTTGCCTGGCCCTAGTATTGCCATTATACTGTGAAGAAGCAGCTATCTGTGCATCGGTGATTGCCCTGCTATCCATGCCAAGTGGCGCTGCACAACCTGTTTGTATTGAAACAGGACATTAAGGTGAAAGGTGTATCTTTTTACGAACAGTTAAAGTCTTCGTTTCAGCGGAGCATGATACGTTTGTTCTCTAAACTTAAATTTTCAAAAATTAATAAATCGGAACGTTTCTCATCCGGCCCCCACGATGTTTTTTTTAATTATCAAAGAGTTATATTGAAAGTCCATGATTGATATTTAAAGTTTCATTTGCTTTTAAGGTTTTATTAAATCGTATCTACCGCGTCAACTGTGTCGGGCTATTGCCAGAAAGAGGTGTACCTGGGCATCCATAAATCTCCATTCTCATCGATATCCGGTCGTTCCAGGCAAGCGGTTTCAATCGGATGTAACGAGTGGTTATTGGTGGACTCAATATGTTATAAACAACAGTATTTTGGTCTTGATTGCCATTGAACACCTAAACAATAGACAAAGGAATAAAGAATTTTGGTAAATTTCACATCACTACTTAGGTTTGTTCAACCAACAGATTTTATGCAGACTTGAGGTCTTATTGATTAACTGAGTGATGAGTAGATAAATGTATGAGTTCTGATGGGTGAATGGTGAGATGGACGAAAGATGGACGGTGGATCGGTGGATTGAGCGAATGGATGGTAAGGATGGATGGATGGATGAATGGATGGATGGATAAAGGAATTAATGGGAAGATGGAGAGATGGATGGATTGAGCGAAAGTATGGAATGGATTAATGGTTGGAGGATTAGATAGATAGATAAGTAGAAAACATTATATAACCCGGTAATTTTTGATCAAAGTTTACAATGTGCTGCACTTTTGTTCTTCCCAAAAGCCATGGACTACAAAATTACGACTAAGCTTTTAAACCATTAAGAAATTTATTTTGGTTAATGTAAATGATGGTTTTAATTTACTTTAGAAAGAGTTAAGAAACCATCTTACAAATGAAGTGTTTCACTAAAAATAAATAGAGAGATTGAGAGAATCTAATTTTTTCTTAAAAGCTTAAATGTATTTTTCATATTTCACTTCGTTTGATGACGTATTCCAAACTTTTGTCCCAGTGTAAGCAGAACTGTTCCACTAGTAGTCTGTTTTAGCAACCGGTTAAGCGAGATTTCTACCGAAGGTTCTTGGATTATACACTGATTTCCCAAATACTACTCGAAAAGATATCTTCTAACTAAGCTGGGGTCATACATAAAGTTTTTCGTTGTCCCATACAATGCCACAATTATCATAGTATGGTTCCATAATTGAATGAGACGCAATAACCAGGTTAGGAACAAAAAGCTTAGTGGATGAATAAATCAGTGGATGGAAGAATCAGTGAATGGAAGGATAGATGGATTGAGCGACTGCATGGATAAATGGGTGAATGAGTAAAAGGATGAATGGATGGATTTTTGGACGGATTTGTGAATGGAGGCATTTATGAACAGATGGAGGGAAGAAGAGAGGGAGGGAAAGAGGAATGGATGGATGGATGAACTTCATTTCTCGACCAGGTTTCATTTTCTTCTTTTTGTCAGCTTTACACTCTTTCATGAAGCAGCAGCGAACGCTATATGCACGATATCTGTTGACAAAAGTCTGCAACTTAGCAGAGAAAATGAAAGTTTAGGATATCTGGTACCTTTGCAGGACTGGATCTAGCTTCCCTGTAGAGGTGGAATGTTATTCCATCATCACTATATTGTAACATATATCTAGTCACCCACTGATCGTAGCCATTCATCCCCTGAGTCGCCAAGCGCGTCACTTTTGTGTAACTACCAAAATCCACTTGAAGCCATTGGTTGAGATCATTTGTGAGAGCTGACCAACCCCCAACTTTGTCACCATCCGCTTGGAAATGTAACCTGGCCTGTGATGCGGAGTGATTGTCATCCAGTTGTGATGATGCTGTTATCTGAGTATCAGATATGGATCCAAATGCCATTCCAAGAGGATTTACGCAACCTTAGTTTGACAAAAAAAGAAAGGTGACAGTTTTTCACGGATGCCATTGTTTGATTGATAATGGCTACCTAGTCCTGTGCTAAGAATCATAGTTAAAGATATTGTCATTCACAACTTGCAGCGTACCACAGATAGCCTTTACAAAAATTATTAACATCGGGGAAAAGAGATGGAATTTGTTATCTGTACAGCAGCTCAAAAGAAAGTCAAACTTTAATATTTAATAAGTCTCCTTCAAGTAAATAAGATTATTCTAGATACCTGGACAGCCATAGATCTCGATCCTCATTGATATTCGATAGTGCCACCCAGCGGGTTTGAATCGAATGTAACGCGTTATAACTGGTGGAGTCAGCGTGTTGTACACGACAGTGTCACTGTCTGTATTTCCATCGAAAACCTTTATAGAGAAACGCAAAATACCTTAGATGATTATTCAAAGTTTTTTTGGAATTGATTTTTCTTAATGCCTAAGTAAAAAATGCCACTGTTCTAGTTTCTTACAGTTCGTTTCAATTTAGCAACATTCTGATTAGAGTTGTCTACCATCAGTTGGATGAACGTCGATCTCAATGACTACAAATGTTTTAGCCAGTCACATCTTCCCTGAACTGAACGCGGGAAGGATGAGCTCTTGAAGTTTTGTGTGGTAACATTTCGTCAAATATATTTGATCTGAGAGTTATATTCTCAACACGTGCAAGTTAAAAGGAAACAAAATTTGGCAGCAATACTACCGCAAATTTTATCTGTTGTCGCTGGATTCCTTCAAAGTTGACGAGGGAATATTGAAATAGACTGGACAGGCTTTGCCTATTGGGATGGAACGAAATTTTATTTTTTACTTTTTATTGCCTATTACATTAGTGTTGACATTCTTTAACCTATCACCGAAATCTGGGAAAGCTGCATCACGTTACAAACCTGCGCAGCAAAATGTCCTGGATCCTCAAAGAAATGAAAGATGTCCTCATTTTCACCGTATTGTAGTCTGAACTTGGTCACCCACTCGTCACGCCCATTCCCTCCCTGCGTAGCAATGCCCGTCACCCTTATGTGGCTACCAAGATCCACCTGAAGCCATTGGTTTACGTCATTTTTAAGCGCTGACCAGCTTCCTCCGTTTTCTCTATTTGCCTTTGAATGTAACCTGGAATGCTTTGCAGAGTGATTTTCATCCAGCTGCGTTGACGACTTGATTTGAGAATCCGAAATTTTGCGATTTTCCATGCCATACGGGGACATACAGCCTAGATTGAAAACGAAAACGATATTTTTTGGAGATTGTCTTTGGAAAAAGGTGAGAGGATTGACTGGGGCTGGGTTCAATTCGTTGTGTGATAATACAAGCCCTGAATCAGGAGTTTGATTGTAGACAGAAACGTCTGTAACCCATTCATCAAAATTGTTGCAACATTTGAGGAACTAAATGATCGTCGGTTAACGTATTTATGAGAAAAAAACAACAATAAATTTTTTCATGAGAAAGGGGCCCAAGCGTCGATTCAGTAGCACACCTGAATGACGTTTACTGTCAAGTTACACATTTGGACACCGAAAAAGGCTTTTACACCGTCCAGTTACAGTCATTACATCTAAACTGCTTTCTTAGCGCTTTTATCAGTCTGTTGATAACCAATTACGTTCGAGAATATTGGCATAGTCACTAGTTTAAAGACTGCGAAATACCTGGACAGCCGTATAACTCCATCCTCATCGAGATGTGGTTATTCCACGTCATCGGTATCAGCCGTATGTACCGAGCTGTTATTGGCGAAGTTAGTTTGTTGTATACGACAGTATCTGAATCTCGGTTTCCATCAAACACCTAAGTATAATAAAAGTAGATTTTAAAGAAATATTCCAGGATTTAAACATTGTTTGAGGACACTCCCATCTGTTTCTCCTTTCAAGATCCGTCATAGTTGATATTTCATTCACATCTGTAGTGCAGAGTGTATTAGGTAAGGGAAGAGATCCCTAATACGTTCATAAACTAAAGTGAGGTCCATGGTAGTAATCTATTTTAAATAGTTTGCTCTATAATGATTTATTTCGTTGTGAAAAATAGCCTATGGGGTAGGCCTCTCAAGTGAGGTTTTACCTGTGAAATTTTTACACACCTTTTCTGAGCTGCTGTCAGATTCCTTGTAGAAAGTGAAGGTCACACCATCATCGCTATATTGCAATTTGTATTTGGTGACCCATTCTTTGAATCCGTTTCTTCCCTGGGTCGCTATTACCGTAACCCTCGCAAAAGTATTAAGATCCACTTGTAGCCACTGATTACGATCATCTGTGAGAGCCGTCCAGCCACCTTGCTTTTGACCATTTCTCGTAAGGTGTAGTCTACCTTGTATTGCAGAATGGTTTCCATCCAGGTGCGAGGAAGCACTAATCTGAGCATCTTCTATTGTCTGACTTTCCATTCCAAGGGCAGTCATACATGCTGCATTTGTTGTAAAGAGTCAGATGCAGATAGTATCCAAACTTTACACGACACTTTTATTGAATTTTTCTTTCAATAATTGCCTCTGATAAATTATTGTAGTCAGCGAAAGGATTGGTTGATTTCAGTCAACATTAGTTCAATAGAATACCAAAATTACATCCCACGTATTCATCTCACTGCACCCACTATTTTCTCAAAATTCTCTAATCTATGATGAACGAGAAATGATGTTGCGACGCTAAGACTCCTCTCACTTGCTGGCATATGCCTGTGGCTGAAAGACTGTCTTCAAAATTTGACAGCAGATTTTTAAAGTCCTATTACGCTTGTCAGTCAATCTAGTTAATTGTTTTCTGACTTCTTTGGCCAGCGGATTCTAAATTCTAGATCAATAATCGCCATACCTGGACAACCAAAGAACTCTGTTCTCATGGAGATCTTATTGTGCCAACTGATTGGTATAAACCGTATAAACCTTGCTGTGGTTGGAGGATTCAGATTGTTATATACAATGGTATCACTTCCTTTATTCCCATTCAGCTCCTGTAAATTGTAAGCGGCATGGATTAAGTTTATTTTTGGAAGGGCCCTCAAAAGTGACAAACACTGCCCTTAAAAAGCTCTTACCTTTCATTTGTCAAACTATGTGTCAAAGTAAAATTTCAAGAAAGTAAAAAATATACTCATGTTTCAAAATTATTGAATTTGATGAAAACAGTATGGATTGAAAGAGTTGTCCCCTATCTCGCCTTTGGATATTGCTCTTGTCCACCACACGCATGTGACACCTAACTAAGACATACCGTCCATTCGTTGTCACCCTGTTGCTTGTAATTCTGGAAGTTTTTTCCATCGTCACTAAATTGTAACTTGTATTTGGTCACCCATTCGTCTTTGGCATTCAGCCCTTGAGTCGCCACACGCGTCACTCTAGTATAACTTCCAAGATCGACCTGCAGCCATTGGTTTTCGTCGTTTGTCTGAGCTGACCATCCCCCAGCCTTATTTTCTTCTTCTTTAAAATTCAACCTGGCCTGACTTGGTGAATGGTTGTCATCCAGTCGCGAAGAAGAAGTGACCTGGACATCAGTGATCGTTCCATCCTCCATACCAAGCGGTTCAAAGCATCCTGGGTTGTTTGCAAAAAAGGGCAAAAATTAAGGAAAAAGAAGAAGAAATAAAATGAAGAGGAAAAAGAGAAAGAGTGAGAGGAAGAAGAAAAAGCGAATGGGGTGCTTTATCTATTTGCTGGAACGAGCCAACCAATCTTCGATTTGCTGCACAGGCAATTTAGGATCACTATTAATAATCAATTGAAACCTGCTTTGATAGGAAATTGACAGACGTAGTCAGAGATGTACATGTGGTCTGCAGGAGTTGCCCTTAATGCATGGGCTAATTTATATATTAGTTCTAATTCTCAACTACATGTAATATGTGATTAGGACTCATCCTCTAGCCATTATATTTTATGCAGAATGCCTCAACCTCAAATGTTACATTATTGTGTTTATGTAATGAAGTATTTTATATAAGCTAATGCGAATGACACTTTGAGAGATTAAGTTCACAGCTAATATATATGAAATAGGTACAAATTAATACAATTACTGCAACAGTAACAATGAGATACACCGCGATGTACCTGCGCAGCCATAGATTTCCACTCTCATACAGATGTGACTTCGCCATTCCACCGGAATGAATCGGATGTAACGTGCCATAATTTGCCTTGCCAATTTGTGGTACACAATGCTGTCTCGGTCTTGATTACCACCAAACACCTGAAAAGAATATCATCATCTCTTAATCTTTGGAGAAAATGTGACAAGTAGATTTTTGCTGACTTCTGAAACTCACTAAAGAGCCGAGGAGAAGTCTTCTATAACCGGATTGATTCTTCAGAGGATGAATGAAGTTTAACTTGTTACGAATCTGAATAGATTTACTATGGAGAATTAATTTTCCGGATTTTTTTTTAATCGAAGATGGCTAGGGAGGAAATTTTATTTTGATGGAAAGCCTCAAAGCATATCCCGCCGGAATTTTTCTTATCAAATCCCCTCGCCTTGGACACCTTTAATTTAGTTGTATCGTCAAATGTTCAATCTTACTTCCATAGTTCACCACGATTTCTAAAGCTAGCTTTTGATTCTTTGCTCAGCTTTTCCCCTTTGCGGATGTTTCCGTACAGCATATTTTTTTTCTCTTCTGGAAAACACATTGCATTTAGAATTTGTTATTAGTAAATTTTGTTTGGCGCCGGTGGAAGTTCTATAACATCATTACCGTGGTTGGCCTTCGCACTCTTTATCACTCATGTCTGTTACCAAACATTAAAAGACAAGAAGAAAGACGAAAATACCTTCAATGAGTTGTCGCCTTTTTCTATATAAAAATGAAAGTTCACTCCATCAGTACTATATTGCAACCTGTACTTGGTCACCCACTGCCATAATCGGGGTGCATTCCTCCCCTGAGTCGCGACACCGGTCACAATGGTGTAGCTGCCAAGATCGACTTGAAGCCACTGTTTGAGATCCAGTACACGAGTTACCCAGGCTCCTCCTTTTACTCTAGTCAACTTCAAATTCAGCCTGGCCCTTGATGTACCATAGTTATTATTCCACTGTGTAGAGGCACTTATCTGTGCATCCTTAATTGCTCCACTTTCCATTCCAAGAGGTGTGCTGCACACTGAAATAAGTGAACACAAATATATTGAGTAAGACGTCGTTCGACTCGTCAGGAGCTTGGAGAAAAGAAACGATCTGGGTTTCCTTTGAAGAATCGAGTTCTAGAACCTCGTATATATATATATATATATATATATATATATATATATATATATATATATATCGTTCCGATACTGTGCTACTGAGTTCTAGAGAACTATGCGGTGAGCTACGCCATTTTTAGGGTTGATATGAGACGAGTCCCACTCCGTGCTAGGAGCAGCAATGTTGAAAGTGTCCTAGGGAGAATAGAGCGTAAAGGATGGTAAAAATGATATCTATAAATGTCAAAGAAGTGAACTTAGTAAATGTATGTGCATTGAGCGTGTTAGCTCTAATTTATTGGTTTTCGACTGTAATTCCACTTTCTAGAGCGATGTTGCATTTGTATCCGCATTATTTTTGCTGTGTATCCTCTTACTTTAAAACTAATTCTTTACTGGCCGGTATACTTTAAAATCAAAGGCTCCGAGGAACTACCTCGTAGTATGTCTTAATTATTCACTTGAGTGGTAAGAACTGTAATTATCACATAAACCGCGGTGTTATACAAGGATTTCCGGCCCTGAGAAAAGTCGTAACAACATACGTGAAAAAATACGATATTTTTTTCACGTGTGTTAATATATCCAATCAGCTGCTTACACGTCATTCGCCTTTGGTGCCACTCGGTCAGGTTGATGAATGAAAGGCAAAGCCTTCACGATTCTCAATACAAGTTTTTGTCGGAGCTTTCTCGAATTATGGCGGCACTAAAAAACACTAAAAAATCCGTACCGGTTACAGACAATGAGGTTCAAACTTTCCTAGAGGGGGAAGAAAACCAATTTACTAAAAGTGCTATGACAAAATTGGCATCTAGCAAGGTGATTTTTGACTTATTTGAACGTGAAAATAAATGGAAATAGCATATTTGCATAAGCTATTCGGTAGACATTATAATAAGCCAGTTGATCATTTCTTATTCCTTTTGGCAGTCTTATCTAACATGTAGAGTTTGGTTACCTTTTCCTTGTTATGATCGTGAAATTGACATGGAGACAGATGTTTTAGCGTAAACTGCGGTTTGAGGTTAGATATCGGTACATTTTCAGTATGTTGCTTAAAAAAGTAATTAATTACTAAGAAAATGACTCTACCCTATAAAAATTGATCCCGCACAGGAATTTCTTGGAAATAACCCTCCTTTATACATTTATTCATTTAATACTCTCGTTTTTAGGCTAAATCCATGTCGAATTCCCGATCAGGAAAATAGTTTTCAGTTTTTGATTTAGCACGTTCGACACCTCTTTTTGTTAGAGGTGACTTAAAGTGTAAACATGGGTACTTTTCATCTTCCGCACTGAATTTGTAATTAGATAACTTATACGACTAGCACGCTGATCTTTTAGGGGCGTTACCTTGGGTACGCCCTTTCTTCTCCGAATATTGTGTTTATTCTGCTGTTATGCAATAGCCTTCAAGAACTATTTTCTCTTCTGATATCTTTTCAAGTATGATATTAATTCCGTTAGTAAGTTTATTCATAATTTTGATATTGTCAATCTTGTTTTTGTTTCCACACTTTCCAAGAGAGATTAGAGCTAGTCCCCGTTTAATATGTTGACCAGTAAGAGTGAATAAAGAAACGGGACAACAAAACAACGAGTGTTAGGAAATTATTTCTAACAAAAGAAAACCGAAAGTTGCGTATTCAGTGGCTTTGGTACTAGCATTTCTGACGGCTGAGTGAAAATCGACAACTGTGAGATTTGCCACTGGCCGATTTTGGCCGTTTACCTGAAAGACTTCTTCTGTCGGTAAGGACAAAGTCAATCAATGAGAATTTTGTAAATTGAAAATTACCATCATTGTTGCTTTTGTAATCATGATTCAACGCCTTTTATAATCTTAAGAGTCAGCGCCAACACACTCTACGATTGTTATTCGAGGATTGTCGATTCATTTATTTTCATTCATTTAATGAAGTCGGCTTGTCTTCCCAGTAAAGGGCTATTGTGTTTATATGATAAACAGAATAATACATGGTTGCTTGAAGATATGGAATTTCTCTTCTCGTGTTCAACTCGACATCTCACTCGTTGGCTGCGCTCACTCGTGAGCTATCGAGTTAAATGCTCGAAGAGAAATTCCATATCTACGAGCGCCCATGTATTATTCTCTATACCTCTGCCATCTTCTTCCAATAGCGCGTCACGTACCCTTTAATGACCAATTTAGAAGTGTTAGCCAGAGCACCAAAACTTGGAGCCAAAAGTAAATCAAGACGACAATTAATTAAAAGTCACATAAATTGACTGCCAAACCGTGAAAAAAAAAAAAAAAAAAAAAAAAAAAGAAAAAAGAATATTAAAGCGATCTCGGAAGTCATGAACACTACTTAAGCAGAAGTATTCATATTCATTTCTTAATCAAACCACATTTCACATATATGATTTCATATACTCACAGTAAGTAACAAAACTGTTGGCAAACGATGGCAAATTCAACCTGTGCTCAAGCAAGTGATATAATACGTTAAAATTATGTCAAGAAGATTTACGCACTAGGAATGAAGTAGCTCACAGGGTGAATGATCAAATTAAATAAAATCAATAAAATCTCAAAACATGGTAAATATGTGTAAAATATAGCCGGAACAGATACGCGAAATCAACTTGAAGAAAGAATGAAATCGCCTATAAAGGTAAAATAAATTAAATCCTAATCTTAAAACTGCAAAATATGGTAAATAGATACGTGAAAATCAATTTGAAGAAAAGAATTATAATTGCTCACGCGGCGCGACCAAATGTTTACATATCTGTTTTGGCACTGTTGTCATTGTCGATTTTAAGACTGACTGAGAACGTTTCTTTCCTGTTCAGTATTCTTCACGTTTTCTCTTCGTCTGCGAGGTCTACAAAGGTTTATTTTGATCAAAAATGGAGCAAAAAGGAGGAGAAACCACTTTGGTGATTTCAGCACACGGTCCAACAAGATATTTTCATATCGATCGTTCGAACTTTTAACGTTGTCGATTTTAATAATTTGAAGCCCTTTTCTTTCCAATTGAGTATTCCTACGTACATTTCTCTCTTTGTTCAAGAGGTCGAGACGGATGCATTTTGATCAAAGATGGAGCGAAAAAAAGCTAGATCATCTTAGCCTACTGCCCGATGACAGATGCCATTTCTAACTTTGTGTACTCAGGTGAAAATTTCGCCCTTAGTGTTAACCCCAAGGTATTTGAACAATAGAGAATAGCATAATAATGGAGACAAAGGTAAGCCTAATAGGGGGAGGCAGGAGATGATGCGTTCGATCAAAGTTTTAATGCAACATTAACTGTCTAACAGATCAGAGAATAGGGTAAGTGAGTTAGTGAATGAGTGAATTTTCCTTCCATATTAAAACCTTACAGTACGACTAACGTCATACCATGAGGTAAAAAAAGGCCGGTTAAAAGGCACCCCTATTTGATTTTTTTTTGGCATCGTTTGTTACTGTTAAAACGTTACCTGTACAACCGTAGATCTCTATTCGCATCGCTATGTTTTTATACCACGCTATGGGTGAGATCCTTATGTATCGTGCTGTGATTGGAGGTTTAAGAATGTTGAAAACAGCAGTTTCACTATTACCATTTCCGGGGAATATCTAAGCGAGAAAAACACAGAAAGCATCAAGGAAAAATGATGCATAAGGCTTGCGGATGATTAACAATGAAAGGAAAGAGTTCTGGGTCTGCCTTTTGTTATATATTTGAATGGCACACTGTTGTGGAGGTTTGTAGAGCGTAGGGAAATACTCGATTATATTTTATTAGAGAGGTTCTTTAGCTGGAAACCATCCCTTGAGATCTACAATATGTGATGGCCTTTGCTCTCATTGGGCCAGAAAGCCACTTTCCTTTGCTCGATACAAATTCGTTGCATCGCAACAATGGCGAGAAAATTAACGCCGCTTGAGTTGTTCTGAGTTATGTTTTTTTTTCTCGTGCATGTGCAAAGTTATAAAATCTCTTATTTAAATTTATTTCTGAAGTATTTTAACCATGCCAATAATTCTCAAGGCAGCTCTGCATTGAATAAGTAGGCGCTGCATACCTTAGGGTGGCCACCACCAATTTCCATGTAAGACTTGAAAGTGATTTCGTTAATACTGTACTCTAACTGAAAGGAAGTAACCCATTGGTCATAGCCATCCCTCCCTTGAGTGGCCACTCGTGTTACTCGAGTGTAACGACCAAGATCCACCTGAAGCCATTGATTACGGTCATTTGTTAGAGGAAGCCAACCGCCCTGCTTTATTCCACTTATCTTGGTATTCAGTCTGGCAAGTTGTGGCGCATGATTATCATCCAGTTGGGATGATGCACTGATTTGGCCATCGGAGATCAGTCTACTCTCCATACCAGCGGGTGCAATGCAATCTAAAGGAGAAAACAACAATTGATCATCCTAACTTAGTTTACTCGGTGAAGTTCCCAGCCTGAGTGCATGATTTGTAATTTGGTGTTTTCTGTCGAGTCATACTTTTTTGACAAAATACTGAGGACATCTTTCCTTTCTTTCCCTTCCATTCTCCTTCGCTAACATTTTGGTTTTAATGTATTTGTATGTATGTGGATAAACTTCTTTGTAAATGTACCAAAGTTGCGATTGGTTTGGGAAATTTAAGGGAATTAATTTATTCCTTCATTTTCAAGTAGAAAAAGTTAAACAGTTGTCATTTTTAGGAAGCGCCCCATTAATTATTTTGTCAATGGCTCAAACAAGACCTCTTTTCGGGTTCGAAAAACGTCTGATCGTGTCATGGTTAAATTCGTTCAAATCAGCCAATACGCTTAGTCAAAGAACGTAATCGACAACGTTTCCACTAAGCTTCAGAAGTAGTATGTAATAAAGTAGTTCCATTACTGGATGATCTTTGGTCTACATTTAGTCCGTGGAGCGGCTAACAACAAACAGCCGCGACAGATTTGAGTCAATCCTAATAGTAACCTTTTCACTATCAAGTAATTTTGCTGTACATCGATGTCCAGTGAAAAAACGATAAGAAGAGGCCAAATATCAACTAAGGGATATTGGTAGATCTAACCACCAGATTCTCAGAATCACATGTGCACATGACACGCGATTTGGGTTATTGAGAAACGGTTGACGGCTACAAAAGCACACGACAAGTTAAACAATCAGTAAAATTGGGAAATTTTTTTAGCCATATTGCCTCCTGTTCCGCTTAAGAAGTACGTCTCGATGAAAAGAAAAACACACACCCACAAAGACAACCAAACAAGAAAATATTTTAAAAGGCACGAATAGTTTTCGATTACCTGGACATCCAAAGAGCTCTATCCTTATGGAGATATGTTTGTTCCACTGTGTTGGGATTATGCGGACATAGCGCGCTTTGAGTGGCGGACGAAGTGTATTATACACAACCTCGTTACGATCTTGGTTTCCCTTAAACTCCTGAAAATCGTCATAATTGTTACAGTCAAATTAAGATCTTATTTAAAGTCTGAATTGTGATGACTTACTCCATTGTTTGTTCGTTCATTTGTCTCTTTTTTTGCCGGTTTTGCTTTCAGAATTGCACTTGAAATAACAGGTGATAATGGATAACTAAAGAGATAAATATATCATTTTGCAGTGGCACATTGACAGAATGCTTCCGTGGTCTCTTACCCGTGGCTATGTCCAGTTCATTCTGAGTGCAAGAATTAAGTTACAGTATTTGCAAATGTATATTTTCATTTATGAAAACTTTTATTTCTATTAGAAGTTAGCTCAGTTGAAAAAAATTCCCTGAATGAGGATAAACCGTACCGTGACCGAAGTGTCCCCAGTTTTTTGGTAGAACTTGTAAGTCAGTCCATTATCACTATACTGCAACTTGTATCTGGTCACCCATTCGTCAACTCCGTTCACCCCCTGAGTCGCCACTTGTGTCACATGAGTGTAACTGCCAAAATCCACCTGAAGCCATTGGTTGGCATCGCTTGTAAGAGCCGACCACCCCCCAGCGTTGTTTCCCACGGTCTGAAAATGTAACCTGCCCTGTACTGCGGAGTGGTTTCCATCCAATTGCGAGGAAGCAGCGATTTGCGCATCCGATATCGACCTACTTTCCATTCCAAGAGGGACAGTGCATTCTGTAATGAATGAATTTTAAAATAAGTCTATTAATAGACAAGAAGCTTCTCATTTATATGCAGCTACAATCTAGCTTCCAAGCGTCTTTCAAGTTTTGATACTTTACAAAAATGCGTCCTGGCTCAACTGAAAATTTTCAAACTTAAGCGCAATTTCCATGATCACATCACGCGATCACCGTTACGAATACCCTCAGGTTATCGACGAACAAATTAGAGAGAGTACACTATGACAGGTAAAGGATACTAAAATTGAAGGAGCTTTCCTCTAGCGAGAAAAAGGCAATTCAAATTTTCAAGAGAAATAACTAAGAAGTCAAGTCCTTATTAGTTACACTAGAAATGACTTCTGCAGCTGCAAAAATGTATGTTTCATTGCTGATTTGATAGCATGGCTTTAGTCTCTAATCAAATATTTGTGATATGTGAAACAATTTCAAACAGTGCTGAAATATAAAATTTTTAACAGAGTCTATTCCTGTTAAGCCTAAAACTTGCTGAGAGCTCCCCTCCTCCCCATAAGGAATATAAATTCCCGACAACATGCCCTGGATAAAATAATGTTTTGACAATACCTAGGCAACCATAGATCTCGGTTCGCATTCCAATTCGATAGTTCCAGAGTAACGGTTTGAATCGAATGTAACGAGCTGTAATTGGTTGCCTCAACTTGTGTGACGCAACTGAGTGGGAGTTTTGATTTCCACTGAGCACCTGCAAAATGATCATGAAGCTTTACAGAACTTATCGTCGACTTCTTCAGACTATTGTTACCTTTAAGACTTAACTATTACTGTGTTTGGTAGAAGAATAATAGAAAGAACAGAGGAAAAGTGCTCTCCCTTTACTAAAACGAAGCATGCACCCATAACTGCCGTAACGACTGCGTGAGTGACTACGAAATAAAAAGTTTTCTACATGGCATGACACCAAAGGAGGTAACATAGTGATTAACTTCTCTCTAGAAACCCAAGTCAGACAGCAATAATCATATAACCATAAAAAGTATTTTTTAAGGTGAGTCATGAGAATTTTAAAATTCAGTTCATTATTACTTTCTGTGTATACCTTTGGTAGAGTTTCTCCGGGTCCCTTGTAAAAATAAAAGACTATTCCATCGTCACTGTATTGCAGATGGTAACTAGCTGTCCAACATTTTCGCCATCCTCGTAAGCTCACTCCTTGAGTTGCAACCTTTGTTACGCTTGAGTAAGTTCCAAGATCCACCTGAAGCCATTGTCTAGGATCAGCTCCTCTGGTAACCCAGCCGCCCAAGTTTAACCGTGCAAATTTTGCAGAATTGTCATTATTCAATTGGGTGGAGGCAGTTATTTGGGCATCGGAGATAACCTGACTCTCCATGCCAAGTGGTGAGGAACAACCTGAATGGGTTTAATCAGAAAGTAACCTTAAGAAAGGTGCTTTAATATCCCTTTCAAAACGAGAGTCTTTCCCCCTAATCTATCAGGTTGAGGATAAGTCAGGCACAAGTTTTAGAAGCAACTCTTGCATGATCAAAGATCACAGGCTAAGCTCTGAAAATTATGAAGAATCAGTAGTCTAAACCCCTACCTCAAACACCTGAATATGTTTTTCAAAAAATATAAATTTTAAGCAAGAGTTCAAAAATGACATAAGGTACTAAGGTTCTATTCGCTCCTTGACAGGAAAATATTTTATAAAAAACGTGAACGGCGTTTCAACATTATTTCGAACATTTTGTTTCTTAGGAGGTTTTCTTTCCTTGACCAGTTTTGTACACTATTTTCTCTTGATGCATTGTTTTTTGGCTCTTTTCCTCCCTCTTTTGTCGGTTTTAATCGCACTATGTTTTGTTGGCATTTTGCGTTCTAGGTACAAAGGTGTTTTAGGCCATTTTGGCGTCTCCAGAAAAATTAAACAGTTGTGTTTCTTTTGTGAAAACTAAAAGCGATTTTTTCTAACTAAGATACCATCATGTCATGAAATACCTCGACACCCATAAAGCTCCATTCTGAGTGATATATGGTTGTACCACATGACTGGCAAAAGCCTAATATAACGAGCTGTGATTGGTGAGATCAACTTGTTATACATAACTGTATCACTGTCTTGATTGGCGTGAAGTATCTGATAGTTGAAACCAAAATCAGCTGAGCTCAAGTAGAAACCTCACCTTCGCAGCACAGTTCGTATCTACACAATTTGGAAAGACTGATAAACTTAAATGAGTGTTATTTGGTTCTATGCATACATCGTAATTTTAAAGGTTTATAAGATTTTGAAGAAACTTCACTGATTCCTAATGATGCCAACATTTTCTCAAACAAAAAAATGGAGTTTATCTTCCAAAAAGAATTTTCCTTTCGTATCTTTGGATTTTGTTAAGGTTAGCCGAGTCAAACCCAGACACAATGCTGTCGATCTCAACATTTTTAGGTGTGTTAATTGATCGATGCAATGCTAAAAAAGCCAGACAACGTTATACTATAAAGTTATGGTACATGTAGGTATGTTTCAGGGGAGTCTTTTCTTTTTCGGGACCTCTTAAGAAGAGATTTGTAAGGAAAACCCATTCAGAGAATGAATTCATAGAATGATAATTCAAAGACGCTTTACTTTTGCTGACATTTTCCCTGGCTCTTTGTATGACTGGAAGATCACTCCGTCAAAACTAAACTGTAACGTGAAAGCTGCAATCCACTGCCGCCATTTTGTTGAATTCCTTCCCTGAGTCGCCACACCTGTCACAGTGGTGTGACTGCCAAGATCCACCTGAAGCCATTGGTTACGATCATTTTTAAGAGACGACCACCCCCCTTGCCTGATTCCCTGTTCAATGAAGTTCAGTCTCGCCTGTCTTGGTGTGCTGTTGTTGTTCATTCGCGAAGAAGCAGTTATCTGGGCGTCAGAAATCGTGCCACTCTCCATTCCAAGAGCTCCTGCCAATTAAACAAACAGAAGAGTTCAAGCCTTATTTATCTGTAAAATGTTCGAGTGTATCAAAATTTTTTCTTCGGGGATCTTCTTAAGATACATCTCAAACTCTAAAATTGCCAATCAACAAACTCTTACCAGAACACTTAACAGCGTTATAAGAGGCTTGGAACCCATAGAAAGAACCATTCCTATCTGATCTGAATATTACAAGGAGGCTGTTTGACGAAGAAAAAATTCCATTCCTGGGGGGAGGCTGACCCCCATAGAACACTCCCAATACCTTCCCTGTTTGGTCATTGCCATCGTACACATAAACAACGTCCGTGTTGTTCTCAGATTGTAGACTGAAGCGTGTAAAAATTAAGGCCACTTGAAAAGATACTTTCACCATGATCCTCCACATGCAGTATTGCCCATCTGGGTATATTTCTGGATAGTTAGGTGAGTAAATGACGCCCTTTTGTCCCTGTAAAGTTTGGTTTTGACATTTATAGCCTCCTGCGAGTAAGAAAAAGTTAATTGGGGTTATTTTCATTGGGCTCGTGGTCACAAAAAAATTGTCACAAGTTTCCGCAACTGCATGTAGTTATGTCCAATCTCGCAGCCCATGAAACTCATTCTATCTGACCTTTTCGCTTCACTCTCAATCAATGCTCACTCAGATTGAGTGAGAGAGCTGAATTTAACCAACAAGCACACCTTTTTCAGAATACCGGTCGATCAAGTTAGAAACCCAAAGATCAAGCTCAATTCACCGATTTATGTACACCCTAGAGATTTACCTGTTGGTTAAAGGTATCTACGTCATAAGTGCAACAGACTATACTGACTTGACATACTCGATGAAAGGGGAATTTTCAGAGTTATTTGACTGGGCCCCTGACGTCTCCTGTTCTTGTATTGTATCTTTTGCTTTGTCATCCAGGCTGGTTGTCCTGTGCCCGCGTAACCAGCAAATGCAAAAGAAGACCGATAGCTTCTAAGTGAAGGATCACGCGCTCCCAGTCTTTGAAGAGCGCTAACCGCTGATAAATCATAGAGCGAACCTTCGTCTTGAACACCGACCAAAACGATTTTGCTGAAAAAGAGCAAAACAATGACAAAAAAAGAGTAGTTTAAGGTCAGAAATGTAGGAAAAAAAGTCAGCACTTGGTTTTGACGTCATCTGAGAGCCCGTGCGTCGCGGCCGCCTCAATCAAGAGAGCGAGAATGGTGAGTACATTTACGATTGTAAATAAAGTATCTGAAAATCAGTCGCTTATTAGATGTAGGAGCGAGTTAAGAAAACCAAATGTGTAGACTCTTGAACACCATAGGAGCGAAGTGTTTTTATGCTACACGCACGCACCTTCCGAAGCTAAGGTTTTACTGACTGAGAATATTAACACACACGCTTGTGGAGGTGAGTTTTATGGATGATACACATTCACACGCGACTGAATCGGTTTTAAGTTTTCCTTTGTTGAATTTGGGGAACGACTAAATATTTCTCGGCTTTTACTTTAAAACACGATGCAGCAAAAGATAACATTCGCACATGTAGAATTGTAAATAAAGTAAAGTAGCCTAGAGTTTGAGTTATCTCTTTTTTCCGCTTGTAAATTTCGGCAGCAGCTGAACAGCCTGGACGAAGTTGTTACTTTCAGGTCTTGAAGCGATGCTTTTCGCTGCCTTACACACGTGTGACGTATCACATCACGTGACCTGAATCGGACCTTTTTCAAAATGGCCGTTGATTAAGCGCCGAAAAAAATTTGTAGAAAATTTGACTTCGTATAATATATCGTTAATTTGCTCATTTAGGGTTCTTTAACCTGAGAGGAATGTATTGGGACAAAAAAAAATTGGAAAAATTTGGTGTCAGTTACTCTTTAAACTACATCGAAACACCAGGACCGGGTTGTTCGAAGGTGGTTTAAGATAAACCAGGGTTAGTGTGAAATCTGCTTTCAGATCTGAGAGCTTTAAAAAAATTCAGTCGAATTTCTTTTTGTTTAGAATATGACTATTTGATGCCCTAAAACGAACACAGAAAATTTTAAATCCAAAAGGAGTTTTGAATAAAAGAATAAAGAAACCCAGATTACAATTTAACCTTGGGTTAGTGCTAATCGGTCTTCGATCAACTTGGCCCTCAAATAAAATTACATACTTTCCTTTAATGTTGTCGAGGTAGTCCCGTAGGTTATCACCGGCAGATTTAATCCCGTGTGTGTCGAACACTTTTGAATCAAGAATGACACCTGAGTGATAGGAAAAATATAAAGATAAAAACATTTGCCTAGTTTGAGAACCGGCAATTGTACACGAATCGAATCTTTTATATATACATTTCTTAAATTACATTGGAACACTGTTCGTCTGAGGCTCAGTGAATTTTGAGGACGTGAGAAAAACCCTCGTGGTCGCCTTAGGTCGAATAATGTCCTAGTCGTCTTCTCGTGGATTATTCGACAATATTCACACTTTGACGCATAATTCTTCCGAGAAATAATGAAACTTCCTGAGAAACTCCAAAGGGCCACTTAGATCATGCCTGAGCCAAGAGGAGCTCTTTGCTAGTCACCATTATCGAGCTATCCCTCATGATAAATAAGAATTTAGAAGTAAAATATTAACCGTGGTTCACACACCTGTTGCACCGTCCACAACAACAACATTATGTCCTCTGCCGTGACGAGAGTAATCCTCGCCGTTCACCTTGATGTAAGCAATTCCACATGTGTTCGGTGTCTTTGGTCGATCTTCACAACCTTCACTGCTAATGTACACATCTATAGCAGGAGCCGCAACAAATGCTGTAACAAACCGAATAATCCGTTCAGTCACAACCACCAGTCAAAATAACGGAAAATATCCCAGTAAGAACTGAGTAGACTTCCCGTTGCACGGGAAAAACATGATTGACGATGACGCGGTTTGTTTTTATCTTCCTATGATCTGATTGGTTTAGAGCGTGCGGTTCGAGAATTTACAACAATACACAAACCAAAGCAATTTTGGATTGCTTTCGACGTTCAAATAAAAATGGCTTCATTACATGCAGCAACGATAGTATATAGCGAGTCAAAGGGCTCTTAGAGCCAGCTCATTCATGTTATGGCTGAGGTTTGTATCGATTTCTTGGACTTGTTGAATATAGGTACAGTTTAATTCGGTTTATGTAAACTTTCAAGACATATGGAATAAATTCTCTCTTATTTTTGGGCAGTTGTGTGATAAGGAAACTTGTGCGTGCCTCGTGATGAGAATTGGAAAAAAGGTTGTGTGGGCTGGAGGTAGGATGGGCAGAGGTCACTAGGCAGAGAGTGTCCTTTTTGTTGGTATGTGTTTGTTTGTGGGGCGGAGGGTGGGCTGAGAGGGTATAATCAGGCATCAAATATTGCTCTAGCAGCAAATTATTAGTAACCCTCATCTTTCACGATCATTTGCGCTATTGTGGAATATTCCTTTCCCGTTTCTTGATATCTTTTGTTTTTAACAAAGTGGCCACAATCTTTCTTAATAGAATCTCAAGCCTTCATATGGTCTGATTTCCACATATTGATATTTGCGTAGTCACCAAACAGGTGAGAGATAAAACCACCAGAAAAGCAAACAAATGGCCAGTCACCAAAGCAACTCTTCGCTAAAAATTCACTGGTTCCTCATGAACTATGCCTATAACAATATAATAAGGCACATATGGAAGTATGTGTACACCCCTGAACGTTGAAAATAAATCAAGTTGAAGGAACAGTTTTGGTCTTGGTCCGCATTTTTGTCAACAAAATGAACGCATATCGGTTAAAACGATGAAACGTACGGACCATGTGCAAAGTTGTCAATTGTTTCACGAATATTGCGCGTGTTAAATATTCAATTGTGACATCTTATTTACATCTACAACTACTTTTATTAAGTTGGTAAATTCCGTACCGACATCACACGAACCAACTCGCGCGCAAAGAAAGAAGACTATATGAAGGCTTGAGATTATTTTAAGAGCGATTGTGATCCAGAAACGGGCAAGGAATATTCCAGAATAGTGCAGATAATCGCGAAAGATGATCGCGGAAAAGCGATTGCGTGACGCTCGGAATACAACTTCCGTCAACATCTGCTCCACCACGATACCTCATTCATTGCTTTCAGCATGAATGAGTTAAAAATAACCATTTCATCACCTCTCCATGCAAGGAAGCACGTCCTCAATTTCAAGTCATAAATGTTGATAATCACGTGTTTACCTTCTAAACCACGTAATCATTTAAGGAGTAAAAAAAGTAATCACTGAAAGTGAAGTGTCTTTTCACGCAAACTCTGGTGTCAATTCTTGAACATCCTTGGTGTAGTAGCGACTGCAATGTGCTAAGAACAACAGTAACACATGGAAAGGCTGCTACGAAACGTTGTCAAGAACGCGGCGATTTTGTAAAATTACATATTGGTAAACTGTGATTAAACATAGGCATGCTATGCTTGGAAGAGTTTTTTTTTGGGGGGGTGGGTGCATTACCTGAAACATTGTAAGTGATGTCTACATTCTTACAAAAGGAAAGAAGAGTATTAACGCAGAAAAGAAGGAAAATGTCGAATTAACTCACACACAGGTATTTTGTGGTAGATTGTGTGTTATGCGAATAACTGTAACCAAAAATAAACTGTATCGGTGCCAAGGATACCTGCAGACTGCAGACCGGATACAAAATGTGGACAAGGTACAAAATGTAGACTGCAGACTGCAGAGTGGGTACAAAGTTCAGACTGAGAATCTAAAGAGTTTTTTCGTCTGGTATGTGATAAAATCATCTTGCAACTTACCGAGCGTCACGCAATCGCTTTTTCGCGATCAGCTTTCACGATTATTTGGTAGCTACGAAAACGAAGACCCCGAAAACGATGACCTAAGACCCCCCTACGAAAACGAAGACCCGTTACGAAAACGAAGACCCCCTACAAAAACGAAACCCATTACAAAAACGAAGACACCCCTACGAAAACGAAGACCCATCACGAAAACGAAGACACATGGTATTACCTTTGTGGATAAAAATTATGTTCATGAGACACACTACGAAAACGAAGATCCTTACGGAAATCTTGAATTCTGAATTTGGCACTTCTGTAATTTATTACGGAATATTTCAACAGTAGAGCCCTATGGAGCCTTCAATAGGACTAACCTAGTCCGTATTATCATCTTTTTGAGCGGTATGTGTTTATTTTGTTGACAGAATGCGGATCGAGACCAAAACTGTTCCTTCGACATGATATATTTTCGATGTTAGCAGACCAAATAAACATACTAACGATGGTATCTGAATTCGTCCTTGGCCAAACACAAACGACTCCAAAAGATTACTTTCTCCAAGCATCGAAAATATACACCAAATCATCCATAGTTAATTTTAATCAGACATTCATCTAGAGATAGCACTGAGCAAACCAATCCAGAAAAATATAATCTGCACACTCAACAAATCATGAATCTCGCAACACAGATTGCCGTTAAAGAAGTGCTAAAATCAAAATGTTTGGTGCAATTCATCAACACCTCAAGCAATATTTGATTCAAAATTTGTTCACTCACTCTCGTCGTGAAGGAACAATAACCATGATTGTGCTACAGTGCACAACTATCCACCATTTTCAACATTTTGCGCCTAGCCTTCAGATCTAGATTTCTCTTTACGTTATAGTCTAGCACAGAATAGGAAATTCCCTTTTCGGGTATGACTTGAACTCTTTTGCACAGAAAAGAATGAGAGAGCTACAGAGGTATCTGAGAGAGCTTTTGATGTTACACAATTTGTCACGGAGCAATGAAAAATCTTCCACCAGGTTTGTTTTAGAACTGCAATCGAAACACTTCTTGATTTAATACATTCCACCTGTTCTCTGAATCTCAAGGCAGGGTGATGAAATTTAGTTCTTGAAGAATCATTTGCACGAGTAAGGGATCATTTCGTATGTTATAAACAACATTCGATTAGAAAGTTATTCGATTCATAGTGTTCATTAACCCTGCCAAATCCTCACCTGACGATAAAAAACTGTTTAGCAGAGTAATCAGGCCTAAAGTTGTCCACATCGACATCCTGAATTCCTCATTGAAGATGTTACCAGACAGACGATCCGTAAAAAATGAAATGCTTTTGCCCAAATCAGCTTTTTCTAAAATTAATTTGTCACCACCTGAGGTCAAATCGTGATGCAAATGGTCAATTTTACGTACGTGTATTTTTCTCTCCGACAGTTTCGAGAATATCTTCAGTTTCTAATTACAACGTGTTCTTAATTCATGACTGAAAAGGCCTACGCATTCAAGTTTAAAACTAAAGTTGAAATTGAATGTTATTATTCACCCGGAGGAAAGTGTTCCATCCTCAATTTGTCAGACCCATGAAAGGACGTTAGAGGGCGAAACGAATGGCTGTGACATTTAATCGACACGATACGCGGCAAGGATTTCCCCTCTGATTATGGAAGTTCTTGTATTTCATCGAGATATCTTTGTCATAAAATCAATAATTTTTTTTCAGAGGGCATGGTAACGAATCCTGCAATCTGATTGGTTCTTTACCTGGTCAGTATATATATATATGTATAGATCATCATGAGCTTAAGATCAGCAAAGTTTATTAATAAGTATATTAATTTTATTTTCTTTTTTGACGCCAACGTACGGCGATTTTCATGCTAACTAATTCACAGCGTTGAGTTAAAGATCTAACATCAAGTCAAAAATTTGATGTGATATGCTCTGAGCATAGAATGACGTCATACTGACTATGTTCCAGTCCCTCTGTCTTTGTGTTAGTCCAACATCAGCGCAGATATTGATCATCGCTAACTAAGGTAACGCAGGCGTTCATGAAACTAATTTGTATGAGTGCTAATTTTATTCCGCCGTCGGGCAAATTGAGCTAAAATTCTCTTGTTGTAAAGTTACGCATTCATGCCCAATTACAGAAAAGTTTCGAGCGGAAGGAATCTTTGAGTTTTACAAAAATACGAGTACCGTAAAACAGTATAAAAAAGGTGGAAAAAAATTATTCATTTAACTGTTCACAACGGCGCACATCATGCTGTTTAAAAAATATTATTTACAACCGAGAGACCAAATATGTCGACTTATATCTCTCTACTTCTGAATGACGAAAGTTCGTATAAATATTTACGCTAAGCGACTTTCTTTTAAATGACAAAAGCCACAAGAGGTATTAACAAAGTTTCTGCAGAAATTCATCTCAGCCTGAAAAGAAAAAATGACAACAGCATATGGATATTTCTTTTGCTGATTTTAAATAAAAGGACTCTTTGATGTTATACTCGGTCGTTAAACTAAAACACCCACTAGATTCATTCGCCTCAAGCACTCATTAACACGCTGTGGTTCAACAACTGTTTACACTCCGGAATAAGAGGAGGAAAAGAGCAAAGCGACCTAAGTTGGGGAGATGTTGTCCTCAAAACCGACTGTCATGGCAAAGGATATCTCGAGTACTCAACTGAAAGACAAACAAAAACAAGACATGGTGATAATCCACTAAATAGAAGACAAATCAAGCCGCGAATGTACGAAAACCTTTCAGTGCCCGATGAGCGAAATCCCATTTCAGCATTCAAATTGTACATGACTAAACGGCCAAAGAAAACTCTCGTCGATGGGTCGCCATTCTACCTAACGATAAACAATCTTGGCAGAGAAAAGTTGGCCTTATCAAGTGCGAAATGGTTCAAGTGTCAACCTATGGGAGTTAGCAATCTAAATACCTTGATTAGAGACTGTTCGAAGGCAGCTGGTCTTGCAACAGATAAGCGAATCACCAACCATAGTGCAAGGAAAACGCTTGTGCAAAAACTGCGAGACAGCGATGTTCCTCCGACAGAAATTGTCCAGATAACCGGCCATTAGAATCTTCAGTCCATCAATAACTACAGTTCATCGGGAGAAAAGCAGCAAATGGCAATTTCAACCCTCCTGTCTACAGCATGTTCAAGCACTTCTGTCTCGCAGCAACTTCAATCGCAGACGGTGCCGCAGCCGGTGACACAACAAGAATTTTCTAGCACATTCGTGCCCAGTAAAAGTTAAATGTTCAAGTCTCTCTTTCAAGGAAATTATATTTCTGGAGGAACATTTAACGTTCATGTTTCAACTTCAGCTTCCACCAGTACGATGGTCAATGAAAGTCCACAACGGAAGAAGTTTCGGCGACTCCGAGTGTTGGACAGCCAGGAAAGTAGTCAAGGACTTTAGTGGTTTTGTACTTAAAACAGATAACTGTCATTTCTTGAGTGAAAAGTTACATCCACTTTTTGTTTGTTTCTTTATATTTTTGGAATAACGATTCACCGTGTTTTTATATCTTGATCCTTATCACTTTACGCTTTTTTTCGCGGAGAGTGGATCGTAAATGTGTGTTTACATTTTTTCATTCATTAATAAAGTCGACTTTTCTTCTCAGTAAAGAGCTATTGTGTTTATACGATAAACAAAACAATACATGGTTGCTTGTTGATCTGGAATTTCTCTTCTCGTGTTCGACTCGACATCTCACTCGTTCGCTGCGCTTACTCGTGAGCTACCATTGCTGTTAGCAGCTTTCTCTGTGGATTTGCGGTTCTGTGCTTTCCTGAATGATTTCTTTCTTGTCAGTTCCTCACTGGCCTCCTTCATTATCTCATTCCATATCTCTTCATCTGAGCCTCTACAACAAAAAAGTCTAATCATTTTAGAAATTAAAATTCATTCTTTTTTTTAAATTCATAAGTGATAAGTTATTGAACTTACTTACAATTTGATGAAACAAGAATCAATTGACACTTACAGCAAATAAATGATAGGAAACCGTAACAGACTCAACCACAATCCGTGATAACACACTGTTATCTCCACCTCATCCATTGAGGTGGACATAACGGCAACAAGAAGGAACTCAAAGAGTCTAGAAGACCCAATACTAACTAATTGATTATTTTAAATAATAGAAAATGACTGAATCAAGGGTATATCACAGAAAAATGCTGTCATCTGCGACTGATAATACTTGGTGGCATATCCAGAGGGAGAGTCTGGGGGTATTGATCGGAACCCCCCCCCCACCTGTGGGTTTTGCACTACTTGCCTCCCCATCCCATTTGTATGACACAGAAATTCTTGTATCAATATGGTCACATATTACTACTCAACAGTGGGTTCACTATGGTGGCCGAGAGCTGCCTCTCAAAATTTTACAACTTTTCAAAGATTTAAAGTAGAGAAAAGTAAATTTTAAGTAAATCATGTTATGAAGGCATTTGAAACTGAGCCAAACGGGCCTGGAAAGCTATTGGGATACCACGCAATGCACAAAAAAATAAGGCAATAGTACTTCAAGTAGTTCCGGACGGAATACCGGACCACAACTATAACTTTCCAGAGCAATATGATCTTGAAGATTGTGGTAGGTGGTATACCCTTGTTTATGTAAAAAAAAAAAAGTGTCTGGGTTGACCCTCAATAGGAAGTGGAGGGGCAATGAACAGAAAAAGAGGGGCATGCAATGGCACTAAGATAAACAAAAAGTTCCCGTTGGTCTGAACCTATGAGACATTAACCCATTGACACCGACGTGTAAAGCGTTTCTATCCAAAAGTTAAAATTTTAGAGAAACCGGAAAAGCAAACACAATGCGCGGTAAATTTTTATAAAACATCTTTTCCCAAGAACAAGCTCCAGTGAAAGATGACCTTTCTAATAACTTACTTTCAGCGAAAAAAGTGATAGATGCATATTAAATTTTTACTCTAAATTTTTACTCTCAAAAAAACTGAGCGTGAAAACCTTTAAATCTCGGACTGTCCGTTTCTTTTTTCTCTTCGAGGATTTTCGTCACTGCTCACATTAGAATAACGTAAATTACAGCGCCTGAAATTTTTAAAAACCTTTGTTTGGTTCTTCTGTTACTACTTGCCGGCTCGCTTGTTCTGAAATTTCACTTTCAGTTAACGAAAAAAAGCTAGAGGGAAGTCCCGAAAAGGGTCGGATATAGTCCAATTTGGCAGATGGCGTGACACCTTTAGTTCAGCTCTATGCTCTATACTCTCATAGAGCACGCTCTTTCAACCAGTGACAGCACGCGGTATATCCGAACTTTATTATAACTAGTTCTAGTAAGACAGCGAAGTAAGAGCACATTAAGCTGTTGAATGGCCAAGAGTATACAGTTGAACCTGTATTAAGCTGCATGCATTGTATTAAACATGTATTAAGGAGTCAGCAATGTCAAAGTCCAAAATCTTTCCCCTAAATACTGTAAATTTCACCTCTATTAGGTGGTCATGCAAGTCACCCTTTACATTATCCCAACAGTCTGTTTCTACTGTCTTCAACTTGTATTGAAGGATCACTCAAAGCTGATCCACTCAAAGAAAACTAAAAATAATCTATTAAATAATGCAACTAAATTTTTATCCATGTAAATGTAAGTACTTTGAGTTCAAAGGTCCTCAACCCATTGCAGATTATGTTTATTCTTTGGACTATTAAGTCACATATTATACACGAACATCACACACGGTATTTGCTGCTCAACCTGTATGAACCCTTTATCTCCCACGAGTGACCAAGACAATCAGACATCAATACAATATCATGCAGACAAGTGACGAGAATAAAGAAAATATCAATAAGGGGATAATTAGTTGATCCAATATTAAATTCTCTGAACTAACAGTATAAGAATTGTGTGGTTGACAGTAAAGAGAATTACAAATTTGATCTTTGAGTTAAAGGGTTAAGTAGTCAACCAACATCTATAAAGTGGTTATCCTGTCATTCCTCCAGGGTGACCACTAAATACAGGTTCAATTTCACTTAAACCTAAGCATGCAATACTTAATTAAAAGGCTAAATAATGATTCTTTTGGCTACAACAACATAATGTGTTATTTTGCTTTCTTTCAATTGCATTTCTTCTTTGTTAACACTTTATACCCTAACATCAATATGCATGTTCTCCATACTGTTCTCTATACATTTACAAAAGTGCTGACAAGGAGAATTTGTATAACAATCGAGAGCTTCTTTAGTTGGTGATCATTTCCTTTATTCTCATGACCTTAATATGTACCAGTCCCTCTCAGGGGTCACAAGGTTAAACTCACCCTAGAGATGGTCAGCGTACTTTCCACTGGATCCGGCTGGGGCCAAACGTGGTCACCATGGAAAATATTATTTGCACTTCCAAACCAAGCTATAGGCTGAAAGCAAAAGAAGTAATTTACACGACTTTTTTCTTACCTTGACTTAAAAGTGGAGGAGATGATGATAAGGAAACAAAAGCAAAAACAAAGTCTTCATTAAGACATTAACTGCCTTTGTACTGTGTTTTGAGTTTTTTTTCTTTCAAAAAAAGCAAGTTTGTGTGGGTGCCTAATTGTGACGACGATCTAAGATTAGCAAAATAATTAATGGTGAAACGTTGACATCAATACAGGGTTTCTTTGATGAAACGTAAAGTGTAGCTTATGAAACATTCATCAGATAATTACGAACCGGGCAACAAGACTCCAACACGGATTTGTGCAAAGCACTTCACGATAAGGACGCACTTACATCTCCTGTTGTTCAGGAATACAGCAGCTCTCACGGACCGCCGAGCGACCGCCATAACTGCTGTAGTACCCTTCCAAAAGACTGGTTACGAGCAAAACTAACTCGTCCCTCCCCGTCACTGTCAATTAATTGTTGATATTTATCATTGCCACCCTCAGCCGAGTCTTGCAACTTCGTGAGGTAAACTATCTTCCATTTGATAAACGAACGTTTATGTTTTTTTAGTCTGACTTTGTATTCAACAGCCAAGATCGGGGTCAACTCAGTTCGTAACTCAGCTGTTATTTTTCTTGAATTTTTCATCACCGGAAGCAAACTTGGGGTTGGGGTTAGTCTTTGATGATAGCCTTCATGATAAACTTCTTTGCGAGAGTTAAAGTGCGATAGATTGTAAAAATACAAACATCTTAATATTTTGGGAGCTCTTTTAAAACTTAAACTTAAAACAAAGACGAAAAAAGTGCTTTTTTTTTCCTTCCCGTACCGTTTTTTCTTGCGGCAGTCAGTGGAAAGTAGAGAAACGGATGCTGTGATCAGAAATTTATCAGCCTTTGCTTTTTTCCAACAGAATGATTTGAGAACAGAAATTATTGCTGCTTCTTGCAAAATCTCTCAGACGAGCTTCAAAGATTTCTGTTTTATTCATTGTGATGTCATGTTACCATGAATATGTTCCATTCGAATCAAAATGCGCGCGCTCAAACATAGGCGTGCCCGAGTTTAATTTTGTAGTAAGTTATGTAATCGGAGCGGGTGTTCAGGGGCATAAGCGAGGGGTCTTGAATGGTGGCTCTCAAGAAGTCTTTTCTTATCGTTTGCTGTCGGGCCCTAACCGTTCTTTTATTGAAACACATTACAAAATCTCTACTTGAGAGCCGTTAACCGAAAAAAATCCCTACCACGCCGTAAGAAGTGAGCTGAGAGAAGAAAGATGGTCAGAGAAAGAGCGGTGCTCATATTATAAAGTGGTTATTGAACAAGTTAGGTCCGGCCAGACGGGAAAACATTTGGCTCGAGGTTAACATGTGCGGACCTAGCGCCATCAGCAAAATATTTCTTCGTTCGGCTCAACATTACTCGGACAATATGTTCCCACTTTAAGAAGCCCCTATTTTGGACACCTTGGAATAAACGCTCTGAGAAAAATAACTTTGTTTCTCTATTTGTTTGAATAATAGAAACCATTTACATTTCTCTTTAAGTTTCATCTTTATCGTATTTCTTTAGGTGTTATGGCCAAGACTTGATGAAGATAACGTAAACGATATCAACTAACATTTACGGTTACATATTATTAATAGAATGAATGATGAATA